ATTTCGCGTATAAAACCTGCCAGAGTCCACAGAGTTTCATATTCATCCCTAGGGTGTGCCAGGGTGGCGTGTCAGTCATCTTGAACTCCTGCCCGACCCGACGCCTCGAGTTTTAAAGACATCTAAAAACTAATAACGTAAATAATTTGTGGTGAAATTGATATAATATGATCAGAAAATAACGCAGAATAAATTCGTATCGGTCTCCATAGGCGTAGGAACAGGGGGGGCCGGGGGGGGGGCCATGGCCCCCCCACTTTCGGAGGTGGGGGGGCCAGCAATGTTAACTGGCCCCCCCACTTTTTGCTGACATAATTGTCTGTCTGTACCTGCCACCCGGTAACTTGACAACTATTCAGCTTGCCCTTTAATGAGGATTCCTTTTTGTTTCTACATACAGCGTTATTGACCGCAATTTCCTTCACTCAATGAAGGAAACCATATCAGAGACAAGACTGTGAGACGTGAGTCCTGGTGACAGCATTTTGTTGAACACGAGGCGCGGGACAGCGAGCACTGAGGTATAGGCAATACTAAGACAATACTAGCACGGTGCAGGAGAATGCGTATACAAACGACCAACGCTTGACCGGATCTGCTTGGGGTCGGCATAGTTCGTCAAAGGCGTACTAGCTGGGGGCCAGGGTGACCGTGCCTCAGCCTCGGTTCAAACAGGCTGGGGGCCAGCAATGTCTGTATCTGCCCCTCCCCCTTCCACTTTCAGTGCAGTGGCGGTCGCAGAGGGGGGATCAGGGCCATGCCCTTCCCCCCTCTAAAGGCTAATCAGGGGGCCATCATATCATTTGCCCCCCCCCCCCCCACAACCAAGGGCCCCCATGGGCGTATGGGGCTCTGGCCCTTATTCGATTGTCACGAGACTCAAGAATCCCACGCTAGCTATTAACAGCTCCCAAACCAGTCTTTGAGGGTCCTACACTGATCTCGGAGGGCCCTTCAGTGGCGGTCAAGCGCCCACATTGACCGCTGAGAACCCACATTGACCTCATTTGAGGGCCCCTAAACCGGCTTCAAGGGCCCAGCCGGCGTCTGAGGGCCTCACGCCGGCCTCTGGTGGCCTCATTTCTGTCTCTGGGGTCCCAAGACTAACCTTTAAGTGCCTTTGAGGGCCCCGCACTGAATTCTGAAGACCCGATGCCGGCCTCTAAGGGTCCACATCGGCCTCTGAGGGTCCACCTTGGCCTTAGGGGTCCAACGCCGGCCCATGCTGGTCTTTTAGGGCCCCACACTGACCTCTAAGGGCCCATGCTGACCTGTAAGGACCCACATTAGCCTATGAGGCCTTGCACGGGATTCTGAAGACCTGATGCCGGCCTCTGGGGCCCATCTTGGTTTTTGGAGGCCTTCTGCTGGTCTCTGGGTTCCAACACCGGCCCATGCCGGTATTTTAGGGTCCCACATTGACCTCTAAGGGCCCCGCACTGGATTCCGGAGATCCGATGCCGGTCTCCAAGGGTCCGCATCGGCCTCTGAGGGCCCACCTTGGCCTATGAGGGCCTTCCGCTGGTCTCTAGGTTCCAAGTCCCGCCCATGCCGGTCTGTTACGGCCCCACACTGACCTCTAAGGGCCCATACTGGCCTATAAGGACACGCATTAGTCTCTGAGGGCCTTGCTCTGGATTCTGAAGACCCGATGCTGGCCTCTGAGGCCCGTCTTGGTTTTTGAAGGTCTTCTGCTGGCCTCTGGGGTCCAACACCGGCCCATGCCGGCATTTTAGGGTCCCACACTGACCTCTGAGGGCCCATACTGGCCTGTAAGGACCCACATTAGCCTCTGATGGCCCAAGTCGGCATCTAAAGGTCTCATCCTGCCCTTTGCAGGCCCTGTACTGGTCTCTGAGGGCCTTAACCCTCGTCGGCCGAGGGGGGAGGGGGCGGGTGCCGCCCCTCCATAGGTTTTTTCGCGATAGCTCCGAACACGCCGGCGATAGAGAGCTGAAGCTTGGCATACCTGACCTTTGAATCAAGCAGGAGCTTTTGACACCAACCGCATTTTCGGGTCAGATCAGGTCACTGACCCATGTGGTCATAAGTGAACCTCTGCACGGTCTTCAGATGTCGCAACTTCGCAACGCCCTCACTTCCAGAGGAGATTTCACAGGGAAATGAACCTTGGAGGATCTAGTATCCAATAGGAGTCTCTCAACTTGTATAATGTATATCTCGGATTTTTCCTAAAGTTCATATGAGGTCAGGTCATTTTCGTGACCTCACCATTAGGTATAAGTCAATGGGGATAAACTGAAAACTTTTTCTGGCGCCGGGAACGATCGATCTCCAACTATATCAAGCACACCGAATCGTGATTTCATGCACTCCTTGCAAGGTTCGATGCGTCACTTTTGCAATGTTGACCTTGCGCGACGTCATTTATGAAGTTATAAGGGTCTTATTAGTTTTTCGTCAATAACTAGGTACCGATCAAATTGAGCTAGCGAGTCGGGAAAGCCACCTATGGACTCAAGAAGACCTGCCGAATCGAATGATATGCGACATGACCTCCTTCGACCAATGTCGTGACCTGGGGACGCCGACCTGACCGTGACCCGAGGTCGACACCCTAAGTTTACCTCACCCAAACAAAAAGTATATCATTCGACGCGCCTGAGAGAGGCGAACACGATGCTGGCAAAAACGCGGCTCTGCGGCCATTTTTTGCGAAGTTATTCACCAAAAACGGAACCGTGCCTTGAGGCACTTGACCTGACCTCAGAGGTCACCGGTTGACCTAGGACCATAAAATCGGGTATCGATCTCTGCGTCTCGTAACGGCGCACACGCTCGTTTTACCGCGACGCGCTAGCTCCACCTGGGGCGAAACGGCGAAGGGGGTCGTACCCGCCCCCCGCCCCCTCGGCCAGCGCGTATGTAGAAAACCTATAGGACCGGGCCGTGGGGGGTTAAACTGGCCTCTAAAGGCCCAGACCGGCCTCTAAAAGTCCCACACCGGCCTCTGATAAGTGATGGCCAATCAGCCCAGTTGCAGTGGTCGCTGATATAAAACTTCTTAAAAACGTTATAGGCCTGGCTGAGCCTAGCTGGGCCGTTCATGCTGATTTTTATAGGTATATTGAAAAGACTCGCTTTGCACGTTTCACGCTTGCTCGTAATCAAAAAGTTGCTGGATGCCTCTGGAATTTGCATGGGTGCCAACGGCTGCGGAGGACAGGGGAACGCGTCCATCAGTTTGAGTTTATGGACTCCCTGAAAACTCCCTGAAATTTCAACCATTTTTTTCTTTTTTGTCTCGATTTTTTTACCTCTGAGCATGTTTGCGAAAACAAAGTGGCCGAAATCCGAGGAGAAATTGGATTTTGGGGGTAGGTTAGGTTTTGGATCTCTGGGACCCTGGCCCCCCCCCCACTTTCGAAAACGTTCCTACGCCTATGTCGGTCTCAAAACATTATTTTGCCTATGAAACCAGCCAGAGCCCGCGGAGTTTTAAATTCATCCAGGTAGGGTGTGCCCAGGGTGGCTTTTCTCATCTTGGACCTCTACCAGGCGCGACGCCTCGAGCTTTAAAGTCCTCTAGAAGCCATTGACGGACATAATTTGTGGCGAAATTAATGCGATAGGATCAGAAATAAGCGCAGAATAAATTGGCATCGGTCTCAAAACATTATTTTACCTATGAAACCAGCCAGAGCCCGCGGAGTTTTAAATTCATCCCTAGGGTGTGCGCAGGGTGGCTTTTCTCATCTTGGACCTCTGCCAGGCCCGACGCATCGAGCTTTAAAGTCCTCTAGAAGCCATTGACGGACATAATTTGTGGTGAAATTGATACAATAGGATCAGAAATGAATGTAGAATAAGTTGGTACCTGTCTCATACCCCTATTTTGTATATGAAAGAAGTTAGAGCCCACCAAGTTTTAAATTCATCCCTAGGGTGTGCCAGGGTGTGCCCAGCTGACTGCGGGTCCAAAGATGAAAATTTTGTAGGCGTATCCTGCGCAACTTAGTCAAAAGCGAATTGCAGAGGTAGTGTTTAATTTGCGCAAGCAGCGGCTCATCCGTTTTGCGTTGGCAGCAAACCACTAATCATAGTTGTTATGAATATCCAAAAGCCCCAAAAGCATTTATTCAGAACACAAGCCTGGTTTTTACAAACAGTTGAGGTGATCAAGGTCATTCAACGCATATTTGTTATTAACAGCTGGAAGTGTGCAAGGTTATTTTCTTTCGTTGTCAGTCAGGGTGAGTTGTTGGGTTTGTGCCTTGATTTCGCTTTTTTTCATGGAAATTATATATTATGTAGCAAACCTATAAGTTCTAACTGTCTATATGTCGCTGCTAGGTATATCTGGTAATCTGGCTGTTAATTGTTGAGCATGAGTTGAGCATTTTTCAAAGATGAAAGAATTCCAATTTACCTGGTTTTGGGGATGAATATATTTTACCCATTAGGTGTGATTTTCCACCCAAAATTTCCAAAAATGGAACACTGTTGGACAGGTTGACTTATGTAGTGAAAAAGACATAAGATGCAGACTGTACAGGCATTTCAACGCAATATTCACAGATTCTCACTCCCTAGTTTTCACAAATATATTATCATAATTAATATGCAACCTCTTCGCCACAACCAGCTGAACAAAGTGGCCAATCTCCTTTCATTCACTACCTCGAAACCATTACCCGTCCCAACAATGACAAAGAAAACACCCGAGCTGGCACATCTGCTTATGCTGCTCGGCGGCTGGGATAAGATTATCTGCCGCGAAGAAAGCTCCACGGTGGCTGGCGGTCGGTTTTCACTCCTCGGTCGGCTCGCAGGGGTGGTCAGCGCTCGTGACGAGGCGGCCCGTGCACGGCCCGTGACCGGCGCCTGCGGCACGGGCGGTGGCGGAGGCAGGTAGGCAGCAGTGTCGTGGATGAGCTCGGAGCAGTAACGCCAGAGCGGAGTGAGGGTAGAGACGTGCGTCAGTGGTGTGGGTGGAAGCGAGTGGGCGGAGCGAGCGACCACTGGGCGAGTGTGGTGAGCTAAGCTTAGCAGACGTGCACTGAAGTACTCGACTAACAACGGAATCGTTGAAAGAAAATCGGTAAAACCTGAGTGCTTAAAGCCCAACACTAAAGCCACTGAGTGGTACGCTCGGGTGCAACTTCACCAAGCTGCAGTCCCTGAGACCCTTCAGGACGCGTCCACACTCAGGACAGCGACCAGCCGCACCCGTCGGTCCGGCACATCTCCGCTCCTACCGGCAGAGCAGCTCGTGTCGGGTCAGGGAGAGCCATGGTCCCCAGCTCCGCCGGCCGGCGATGGCGATAGCGGGGCGGTGTCGAATCCCGCTCCTGCTGTCCCTCCAGCTGACCCTCCTGCTGACCGCAGCGAACGTCAGCGGCCTCCCTGAGTGGCACTACCAGCGCCATGTGGACATGTACCGCGCCCGGTACCACCAGCGGACCACCACCCCGCCATGGTCGGATACGGAAGGATTCCGTGGCAGCTCCAGGTATCACCTGCCGCAGCGCAGAGTTACGCCACCACACCTCAGCAGCGGCAGCCCGGCGGAGACGAGCGAAGGACAGAATCACCGCTACAGCGCCTCACAGGGATCACAGCGATGGAAGCCACACGAGAGCAGGGCCAGGTGGCGGCGGCAGCGACCGCACCCATCCCACCACCGGCATTACCACGAGCGGAACCCTGCTCACTACATACGAGACCAGCAAGTCTCCAGCAGTCGTCGGGCTGACACAGAGCCCGTGTGGCTGGAGGACACTGTCCCGTCCCAGGACAGCGAGCCAGCCCCAGAGTACCTCCAGAGGCCGCATAGCGCGGCGGAGAGCACTGGCACCCAGCACAACCGCCTGCTCAATGGCGAGATCTCGGTGGAAATTGGTCAGAGTAGTCGGAATTTTAGCGTCAGAGACGGTGTAGTGATCGGAGCTGAGCATGTAAAACTGTGGCGAATCAGCGGCAGCGACACCGCGGAACTCAGTGAGAAAGGCGGGCGGCTGTGGACCAACAATGGAACGGCATTATTTAGACGAGATGACTTTAGTGATGGTGGAGTGATAAGCAATGAAATCGGCGATTACAGCTCGCAAGACAAGGAAAAGGAGCCGAAATTTTGTGAGTGCCTAGTGCCTGTGCTGTATTATTGAGAAAAGATAATGATCACTTTATTGAGAAAGAGCTTTCATGCTAAACTACACTGTGTAATGAGTTCTTTCACAATGACCTAAGCAGGCTGTGTTACTGCTCATGCTAGTGTTGTCTGTGCTGTGCTCAAATCAGATGCCCAATACCTACCCAATAACCATCTCACCACCACTGACTCACGCCACCCCACCCCGCCCGTTACCGACAGTTTTCCCTCTCTTCACGATAATTCGGTTCCCGAACGAGCCGTGCTCGAGCGACCAGCAGGACGGCTTCACGGCCTCGGGCACCTGCTTCCTGCCCAGCGAGTGTGCCGGCAACGGCGGTCTGGCGCGCGGCCCCTGCGCCCTGGGCTTCGGCGTGTGTTGTGTCTGTGAGTACAGATATCCCGACACGCTGGAGCCAGTGCAGAGCTCTGGTTCACCAATCCACTGGAACGGTCGCAGGGTCATGACCCGCGCGATGACCATCGCGGGTTCCTGACCATTGCACGATCCCGATACCGACAGAACCAGACTAGAGCCGTGCAGGTTTCGTTTGAATTCATCAGTAACTCTGAAAACCTATGAAAAGTCCGACATGTTTGATTCCCAGAGATGCATGGTAGTCGTAGGTATCCTCAGCCTGTTGTTGAATCAGGCACGTGTTTTTCATGCTTGCGTGAATTTCAACCCTGCACCGTTAAACGCGTCACCCAGTTGTTCACGGCTAGTAGACAGGGTAGCATGCGTGACCACCACCACACCTCAGTGCACTCAACACAATTTGCTGGCAACCACTGAAACGAAAACGAAGATTCTCTCTCTGTAAGGAAGATAACATTAACTGGTGCTGAACACTGAAAGGCGATAAACGCCTGTCCGTGACAATGCCCCGGCCGTCTCTCTCACTTCTCAGTTACGCTCTCCTGCGGAGGAACGACCGATAAGAATGGCACGTTCTTCGTCAACCCAGAGTACCCGAGCACCGGCACTACGGCACGGACGTGCTCCTTCAGCGTGAATAAAATCTCACCGGACGTCTCCCAGATTCGGCTGGATTTCGAGGAATTCACGGTGAGTGCAAAAGCTGCGTAAAATATAACTATAGCGGCAGGCAGGGCTGCGGAGTCGGAGTCGGAGTCGGTCGGAGTCGACAATTCTGCCCGGAGTCGGAGTCGGAGTCGGAGCTGGTTTTTGAAAGCCGGAGTCGGAGTCGGAGTCGGAGTCGGAGTCGCCGAAAATCCATCGACTCCGCAGCCCTGGCGGCAGGTAATGCTTCTTATTTGGTGCAGCATCTACCCGAAAGCATAATTTGACCCAGATAATTCCTCGCAATAGACATCTCCACTGTATTCAGATTTGACGAGAAAGTCGAGTAAAAAACTCAAGCACAACCTATGAAGCGCGTGGTCAGACGTAAGCCAATAACCGGTAGTGCGGACCAGCATACATTCAGAGGCGTTTACTAGTGCAGCCATCTATGAACAAGTATAATCAGTGAAAGCCGCTGGGGAACGATGGCTTTTGAGGAGAACTTGTAAGGGTAATAGAAAAAAGTGCGGTGCAGGCCGGGTGATACCGTCTAGCATAAACCCAAACGACGTGATGTATCTCATTTTCCAAATTCATTCAAATTCATAACGTGCAAGTGAGTCAACATACAATATACATAAAGGGTTCGCGTCCGTTCCAGTTCGACAATGACACACATTCGCTCACCGGTCAGCTCAATTCAATGTCAGTTGTTAATTGTTATGGTACAGGGTGTTTCACAATAAATGTTACTTATGAATAGCTTAAATGAAGATCTTACTTGTTCGTAAGCGCGTAAATTTTATATTCATTTTGCTGCAAATTTGTTTGGGTTTTTAGTCCTTATATTTTTTTTTACAAACCGTCAACGGTTCCATTTGTATGGACGTGCAATGCCAACACCGTCAAAACGGGTCAATTCGCCGTGTACAGATGATGAGGCGGTATGGGTGGTAGTCATGCATTACGGCGCTTTGCGGAGTCTGACCGCAGTGCGACGGAGTTTCGGTAGCCATTTTTAAAGGAGGAAGGATATTCTGTCAAAAATGTCTTTCAAAACGGGTGGTAGAAAGGTTCCAGAAGACTGGAAACATGAGACCGGTCCCGCCTCCTGGCCGGACGGCGATCCCGGAAAATCTGGTTGAAAAAAGTCAGACGGAAGGGTGGCATAGTGGAGAACCTGTGAAGGGTGCTGAACTGAAAGTTATATGTTCATCAGTCCTACTGTTCTGCTGTCTCATGTGGTAATACTCATGAGCCATATGTAATACATGTCACTGAAACATCGTCGTTTGAAAAGCAACATTCATTGTGAAGGACCCTGAAGCTTAACAGCGAATTGACCCGTTTTGATGGTGTGGACATTGCACGTATATAAAGAATGCAGTTGATGATTCGTCATAGTTTTTGTAAGGATAAAAAACCTGAAAGAATTTGCAACAAAATGAATATAGAATTTATGGGCATACGAATAGTTGAGATCATTTTAAAGCTTATTAAAAGTAACGTACTTTATTGTGAAACACCCTGTAGGTGAGCTTAATGTTGACGCGTTATTATTATTATTTTTTTCGTAAATGAAAGTAGGAATTCGCCAAAAGGAATTGAAATGTGGAACAGTCACGCATATTCTGCAAAACATCTCTTAAATTAAAAGTTATGTAGCACTAGCATAGTCTGCATATCACATTTACAATTTACATGGACAATGGACACCAAATCACTGATGTCAGAATCATATCACTATCGTCTACCAGTCATGAACAGATCATTTTCTAAACACATCATAAAAAGTGGTGGCTGTTTCATTTCAATGCTACGCGACACTGTCTATTCACCACGGCTCAGTTCCAAGCTACCGTCCCCGCCCAGTCCTCATCCTCTGCCCGGTTCGTTCCCATCACTCGACGACCAGTTCGGGTCTCTCCTCTGTGATAGTGGACAGACCCTTGGCCAGGGTAGTCACCCCGCGCGCCTCCCTGGCCACCTTCCTCGCCCTGGCCCGCGCTGCGCGCGCTCTGCGCGGTCGGCGCCCGATGGCAATCGCCAGACTCCAGGCACCGCTCAGCCGGTCAGCCTGCTCGACGGAGGAGAGTACAGGACAGGTGGCTGGCGCCGGGACCGAGGCCGGCCCCGGAGCCGACGGGAAGAACTCGGGGGCCGTCCCAGAGATGTAGTGCGGACTGGAGGGCACCGATCCGGTCCCGGAGCTGCGTCCGGAGCTCAGTCCGGAGCCGGAGCGGCCCACCAGGCGGCAGGTGAGGACGATCGCCACCACCGCGCCGGCGCAAAATGAGCCCACGGCGGCGGCCACGAACGGCAAGCCGGCGCTCACCCAGCCGGCCGGCGGCGGCGGGGGCGGCGGCGGCCAGCACAGCCGTCGCTGGGCCGCCGGGCCGGTACAGTTGGAGGCGGGACACTCCCGGCGCCGCCACTGCAGGCTGTCCTCACAAGGCGTCCAGGAGCTCCACTGCTGCCAGCCGGCGCAGGACGCATCCCCGCAGCTGCCCATCTGCACCTCAGCGCCGTCCCCGCAGTCGACGGCCGGCCGGCCCAGACTGTCGGCACAGCGGCGACGGCGGCGGCGCTCCCCGCGGCCACACCGGCGCGAGCAGTCGCCCCACTCAGTCCAGCAACTCCAGGCGGCCGAGCACCGGTGCACGTTACACTCCTTCTCTTCACGACTGGCGCCGGCGCAGTCCCGGCCGCTCCCGAAACACTCCCGTGAGCGGTGCGTGACACCGCCAGAACAGGGCAGCGAGCAGGGCGACCACGGGCCCCAGACGTCCCAGCCGGCGCCGGGCCGACCGTCCAGCAGACGGCAGGTGCCGTTCGACGCACACACCCGCCCCCTCGTGTTTACCTCGTGGGTCATCAGTCCCCTGCGGGCCACGGCCGCCCAGCAGCTGTAGCGGAACCGGCGCAGTACCGTCTCCACGCCGCGGCCGCTGAGAACCCGGACGGCGGGATCAGAGACGGCCTCCGACACCGGCAGACTGACCCACTCTGTCCAGGACGAGTCCAACTGCAGCTCAGGACACGGTGCGTCCGGACAGGGCTCCACCTCTCGATCACAGCCAGGGCAGGAGGCGCCGCCGCGCGCCGGTAAGGGTGAGTCGCAGCGCCGCTGACGGCTGCGCAGGCCGGGCACCCCGCAGCCGGCTGAACACTCGCTCCACTCACTCCACGCCGACCAACCGCCGTCCACGGGCCCGGCCGGACGCGGCACACACTCCTGCAGCGAGCAGAGCTGCTGCTGGGCGGCCGGGCCGCGGCAGTCGGGCCCGCCGCCCGACGGCACAGGATCGGCGCAAACCCGGCGACGGGAGCGCACCGCCAGGCCGCAGGAGGCTGAGCAGGCGGACCAGGGCGTCCACTGGGACCAGCCGCCGGCCATCGCGCACCCGGCCACCTGGGCGGCGTCCCCGGGACACGAGCCGCCGCGGCACTCTCGGCGTCGGCAGCGACAGGCCAGCGGCACGGCGTCGTGTCGCCCACACACCTCCCACGGCGACCAGGAGCTCCAGCCGGACAGGGGCGGCGCCGCCCGACCGCAGCCAGAGCTCACCGACTGGCCCCACACGCCGGTGTCTCCCCTGCCGCCGCCGTCACCGGCAGGAGGAGGTACACACAGCCGGCCGTCCCAGCCACAGTGCGGGTCACCACCGGCCAGACAGGCCTCCTCATAGAGCCAGCGGTGACACCTGGCGGCCGGCAGGCGAACCACCTCGGAGTCGGTACCGATGAAGACTGCCCGAGCGTCGTCATCAACCACCAGACTGAGAACGGTGCTACGGTTAATCTCCAGCACCTCGAAGATGTTATACTCGTCCAGCGTACAGCCACCGTTGGCCACCAGCCTCGTTTTGCGTAGGAATCCCTCCTCCGACACGGTGAAGAGCAGAGTAGCAGTCTCTGTGCCGACCCGAACAGTGCGCGCGGCCGCCAGTTTCCAGCGGTGTTCGGTAGTCAGTGCTAGCGGCGGGCCGGACGGCCGAACCGACCCCGTCATACGATGGAGCGGCTCAACTGGTGCTGTTAGGTTTGAGCACTGGCTTCCTGCGGCTTCTTCTTCACCAGGACCCGCCGGAGTTTGAAAGGTTCCATCCAGCGCTGCATTCACGTCGGTTAGATTATACCAACAGACGGCAGATCCAGCCAACTGCGCTGCCGACATCCCTACATAGAGCACTCCATCCCTCAGCTCAGCAGCGGTCGCGGTGCGCAGCGCCGGGCTTCCGGTCTCTCCTTCGAGACGACACTCGAGCGTCACGGAACGAAACGCTCTCCAGAGTCGGCCGCGGGCGGGCTGGTGCACGTCAGCGGCACACACTCGAGCTACGGAGACCACTGAGCTGTCCTTGTTGCAGCCGCGGCCCGCCTCGTTCATCACAACATACACATCTTCACCGTCGCGCAGTACAGCGACCGGTCGCGGCGCTGCCATCCACTCGGCATCGTGCGGTGCGCTGCGCACTGTAGCTGCACCCGCCCCCGCCGGCGTGCCCCAGACGGCCACATCCGCGCCGCCAAAGTCCGCCGGCGTGGCCGCTATCAGGTCTCCAGCCGCAGTCAGTAGCGACGCGGATGGATGGAGAGGCGAATACGGCGCAGCGCCGAGACCGGAGAACGGGCGCTGGGTTCGACTGAGCTCCCCAGCCCGGCGCCAGGCGCACACTGGAGCGAAGGCGTTAGTGGCACAGGCCAGCACGCGTTGACCGTGAATGTGCAGTGCCGTGACGAAATTGGCGCAGAGCGACTCGGGTTGTCCTTTGAGCCGGCAGCGGCGGCGGTCCAGAGGGTCGGCCGGCCAGCGCGTCAGCTCGAGCGGCGCCAGCTCGGCGGCTGAGAGTCGGACCAGCGCGTCCCGCCCGCCGGCCAACAGCTGGGAGTCGGCTGGGTCCAGCAGTAGTGAGCTCCAATTCCCGCCTCCCGGCAGGCGGAATACACGACAGCCGTGGTGCAGCGTCCCGGCGGAGGACGAATTCTGGAGCCGTGTAAAACGGTCCAGCGCTGCCGATGCTTGGTGCTGATGCGGCGGCTGAGACATGTTTGTTAGTTGATCGGACAATTGGTCGCTCCATGCTGCCGATAAGTGACTGTCGGCAGGCAGTGTGACCTGACCGGTCACTGCGCAGCCCAACAGGCCAGCCAGGAACAGAGCAGCCGCCGGGAGTCGCCAGAAGCTAGCCATCACTTTGATCCGGCACGAGACCAATGTCCTGTGAGCGCCGACCGGCAACGCACTCACAAATATCAAAGTCTTCCAACACCAGCTGTTCAATAAGCCTCTAGCAATAGTTGTGAATCCAACACACTCTGACCACCCCACGGTCAGTTTCTACTTCACTGGAATCACTGTCATCAGGCCGCAAAATCACTGCTGTTCCGAATCGACGATTGCAGACCGCACGCTTCACTCGAAGCAGTTCAGCAGTACCGTGAGCAGCGCTCCCGAGGTTTGGCTCCTGATCGTCTCCCCCACACTGCGACCCGTCCGCGGCGGCGCCGACTACTGTCTCCGACCCGGCTCTATCTCGTCCCCGTCCGCCTCTGACCACCACTGACTGCACCAGACGACTCGCCGCCCTCCCCTCCGCCGCCGGCTGGCGAAACCCGATCCCCGGCCGACCCCCGCACCGCGCCAGATGTGTGCACTTGTTCGGCGATCCGCTCATCCCCAAATCGGGCGTACGGAGAGCCCATTCACAGGTTTCACCCTTTACTAAACGCAACCAGTAACGAAACGATCTTGGAGGAAACGCCAGAAACATGCAACACACACAGCTAGCAAAAGTGTCTATCCTCGATGCATTGAAACGTCCAGAACCGTAGAAGTCGCGATTGCTAGACTGGGCCACCGCACCGTGGGAAGCTGCCCGTTTATCGAGTAACAACGTCCGACCGACAGGGGAGGCTCAGTGGGTGACGCAGCCGCAGGGGAAGGTGCCCGATTATCGAGTAACGACGTCCGACCGACACGGGAGGCTCAGTGGGTGACTGAGTGTGCGGGAGACCGCGGGGTAGCGGTGGGCCGGGCGACATGTGGTAAGTGCTCGCCACTGTGACCCACTCAGCCTGGGAACCCTCGGTGGCATAACACAGAAAGGGGAGGGTGGGACGTTCAGACTTGGGTAGCAGGAACAGCACAGCGGAAACAACTACCTACTGCTATCGTAAACAGACATGTATTGAATGATAAAGACGTTGTTGCGTTCCGTGTGTTTGTGTGTTGTGAGTTCGTGAAGCGTTCGTAAAAAAGATGATCGGTACCAAAAAAGACGATATGTCTCATATTTGCTATCAGAAAAGCAGCGCAATCTCCATTGCAAGTAACAAACCCTGACATCAGCAGTTGGCAATCTTACGCAGGTAAACATGTTAACATTGCGACTCTTTCACGCACTTCGAAGTGTTCACTGCTCATTCAACGAGGAGTTAGACTTCGAACTTACCTCAGTCACAGCCGTTCCAGCCGTCACCAGTCCGCCAATGTGGTTGATTCTGGATTCTGATCACCAGTGCTGCGCTATTGCTCTGATTCAGATCTGTTCACCGGTGTGCCTTCTCCCCACAGCTGGCGGGCCCGACGGAGGGCTCCTGTAACACGGATACGTTCAGTGTCAGCGGGCAGAACACCAACGCGCCGGTGCCGACCCTGTGCGGCCAGAACACCGGACAGCACGGTCAGTGCCGGGCGGAGTCGGTCGTCTTCCCTTACTCAGCCCCCAGGCGACACTCCCTCCCCCAGGGTGTCACTCTCCCCAGTCCCTGACCCCGCAACGACATAAATGTGGCGCCAGTCCCAGACAGCGGAACTCAATCACCGACCTGCTGGGAAACCGTGAACATCAGAGAGGAAAAAGATGTCAGTCGGTAACACAGCCAATCTCGATTACGAACACAAGCAATTGAGTTCAGTTCATGATGCGCAGTGATAGTGTTGCGGCACTGTTGCCTCTCAAAAGAACCTGCACCGAATGCCATTGCAAACATGCATTCTTACGTGCGCCACATTATTGAAATTCAACTGCCCACTCCACAGTACCACAGTTGAACGTCCGTCTAATTATGCAAACAGTCGCTGAATGGCAAGTGTTCGTCCTGTCTAAAGCTCCTGTCTAGAGTTCCCCTGATCACAGTGTTTCTTCTTTGTCCATAGTGTTCGTGGAGGTGGGTGAACAGACCGGCCCCCTGCAGCTGCGCGTGGTGACCGGAGCAGGCGGCTCGGAGCGCCGGTGGCGAGTGCGTGTCACGCAGCTAACCCGTCGCTCGGAGGGCGCCGCGCCACCCAACTGTCTGCAGTACCACACCGGCCAGCTGGGCAGCATCGAGAGCTTCAACTACCCGGCCGTGGGAGACAACAGCGGGTATCTGGTGAGCACGGCCACAGCCGCGGCGGAGGGGGGGGGGGGCAGAGGACTGCTGGTGTGCAGGAAACAGCGGCTATCTGGTAAGTACGGCCACAGCCGCGGCGGAGGGGGGAAGGAGAGAGTTGTGACTCCCGGGACACAGCGACTATCTAGTGTGCAGTGAGTCACGGCCGCGGTGGAGTCGGGTGACGGCCGGCTGGTCTGCGGGACAGTGGCGGTTCCTTGTGGATAGCGGCCCGTCTTGGTGTGAAGATGCGGTGATATTCCGTTGGCAACAATTGATGGCAAAATGATAGCTTCATATTTTGTTTCACTGTTACGTAGAATGCACTTCAAACAGAGTGTATGTGTCCTCTTGCGCTTCAACAAGACGGCATATCTGAGTCTGAGACAGCCATTCTTCTCTCGCAGAATCAGCTCAACTACATGATCTGCATACGGAAAGAGTCTGGATTCTGCAGCATCACCTATGGCGTCGATCGGTTCGATCAGTTCAGCAACGCAGAGCGGTTCGAAATCTTCAACGTCAGAATCTCCGTGATAAACGGTAAGCATCTCATCCACTCTTCTCTCCAGTCGCAGAACTATACGTTGTGAGGAAAACAGAGTAGGTAAATGGATCCAGTGGTGTATGGACAGACTTTAGAAGTACGGGCGGGGACGCAATGGGCAAGGACATGGTTTCGAAAGGCAGTCACAGACCGGGAAAACGTGAATGTTATATCCATCGTGAATGTGATATCCCACAGCCACGCAGCGGCGTATTTAGAAAATCGCGAAGGGGGGGGCCAAGGGTTTGGAGGGCGCCACCTCACCCAAGGAGGGCGCCATACGGTCGCGAGATAAAAAATCGCTTAGTGGGGGTTGGGGGGTTGGGAGGCGTTTTTTACCATGCCACCAGTTTTTTTTGCGTAACCTCGTATAGGTCGTGCTGCATTGATTTTGCATCGTGTGTATTCATTATACTCCAGGTCACAAAAGGCCAAGTGTTCTTCAAATGCTGCGCCGAAGGCGCGCGAAATTTTTGAAAACAACCTTTTCCTCCGCTTTTTAGGCACGCCTTTTATACGATCACTGTTCAAAGCTCCTCTCGCTCTTTTACCAAATTTGAAGGTGTAAAAAATACCTAAGGTTTGGTCGGGCCGCTGCCACACAAACTGTACAGAAAGCTTGGCTCATGGGTGTCGATGTATAAAAGTTTATTGGCGGTGGCATATCTACGCACCAGATCACCGTATCGGATTGATACCGGAGCGCGAGCTGCGTAAACATCATCCAAATTACCTCAGACCAGCCTTCATAGCCTTCTCACAGATGCATACAGTGTACCCACATAACCAGTTTCAATCACCGAAACTTCAGATGCCTGCTGTTGCGCCCGAACCTGTTGACAATACTTAATCGTAATCCATATAGATGCCATGATGCACGTAAAGTAGGATCAATCCGTTAAGATCAAAGACGTGTTTTATGCATCGTAGAGCGTAGATAGTTTTGGTAGGTATAGATACTTCATTCATTGTGCTGAATGCACGTTCATTTGTGGCAGTTTTCACAGGCAAGACATCAACTATGTGCAATAGAACGACTAAGTTGAAAAACATGCCAAAGGAGTAAATAAATGATAGGAGGGCAGCGATCAACGGATGTTGCCAATAGGTAGAAGGGCTGCGATCCACAGGAGGGCACTAATAGGTAGAAGAGCCCCGATCAACATCCCGAGTTTCGACAGTAGGGCACCGATAGGTAGGAAGTTGGCGAGCAGCAGGAGGGCGCCAATGGATAGAAGGGCAGCGATCAACAGGAGGGCACCAATAGGTAGGAGGGCGCCGATCAACAATCAACAGGAGGGCGCCACCAGGTAAGAGGGTGGCGAGGAATAGGAGAGCACCATAGGAGGGTGGCGATCAACAAGAGGTCGCCAATAGGTGTAAGGGCGGTCATCAACTGGAAGTCGCTAATGAGCGGAAGGGTGACGATTAAAATGGGGGTGGCAATGGTGAGGAGGGCGCCTTTGCTCAAGAGGATGACACGAACAGGAGGGCGTCTGTGCGGAGGGCGCTGGTCAACAGGAAGGTGCCAGTGGATAGGAGGGCGGTGATCAACAGGAGGGTGCCAGTGGTTAGGAGGGCGGCGATCTACACGAGGGCGCCAATAGGAGAAGGGCCCCGATTAACATTCAACAGGAAGGACTAGGGAACCAATAGGTAGGAGGGCGGCACTGAACAAGAGGGTGCCAAAAGGGAGAAAGGCGGCCTTCAAAATTTCACATGAGGGCTCAATAGGTAGGAGAGCGCCAATAATTATGAGGACGCCGATCAGCAGAAGGGCGGCAATGTGTAGCAGGGTGGCGACCTACAGGAGGGCGCCTTCGGGTGAGAGGGCGCTTATTTACAGGACAGCGGCTTACATAGGCGACCACCGTTACGCTTAGAGAGCTACAGCCTACAAGAGCCCTCCAACCGTATTTGGAGGGCGTATTTGGAATGGGCGTCCTCCGAGGGCGCCCTCCATCCGTATTTTCCCTGTAAACACATTCGCGATTGGAGGGCGCCCTCCAGTCGCGATTGTTTTTCGATTCGATTATATCACAATTGCATTTGCGATTGGAGGGCGCCTTCGGCGCCCTCCAATCGCAAAGGGCGCCTTCGGCGCCCAAGGGGGGGGCCATGGCCCAGTGGCCCCCCCCCTGCCTACGCCCCTGCAGCCACGTCTGACACGGTATAACCGGTCGGTGATGTTTCCTGTGTACAGGTGTGACCGTGGTGCGGTCAACCGTGCCTCCCGGCCAGGCGGGCGTGGGGCCGGTCCAGTGTCCTGACGACTACCTGCTGCTCAGCGCTGACCGGCTGTGTGGAGACAGACTCAACGACGGGACCGTCAATAGCCAGCTCACGCAGAACGCTGACGTCACCGGTGAGCCCCTGAACACTGTGACGTCAAACTCACACGCACCGGGCGGGCGGGCCAAGCCGATGGAAAACTGCAGATGAACTGTGAGGAGCTGACGAGCCCCCATTTGTGTTCCTGCGCCCACAACTATTGTCAGACTGATGACCTCAGTTGGGGTTTTCGGCACCAGTACCTAAACAAATTGCTTTTTACGCCGGTCATCGAGATGTTTCAATGCATTCCGTTTCCGAGTATGAAAGTCGATGTTCAGTTACAAGAAACCTCCATGATAAGTCACGAATCATTTGCAACGATTATAATATAATCTATCTCAGCGGCAGCCAACTATATCTGGTCTGGTCATAACGCCTAATGACCAGATGTCACCTTCTATTCCAAAGGGCACCACAAACTAATGGGAATGCAAACTAATGTGTCACAACAAGCAAACAAGAGAGCTGCCACAGAGCCCTCAGTCCCTGCATCTGCTCCCGTCTGACCGACCCCACTCGCTCCCACAGATGCCACTGGAGGCCAGTTCACGGTCAAGTTCGTCACCAACGAGTCGACCGTCGGGCGCGGATTCAAGCTGTACTTCCGACAGAACCCGTGCCGGACACAGAGAACGTACACCGTCGCCACAGTCGCCGGGAGGTGAAGTGGCTGGAAAACGCTCGTCCCAGACATTTGCGGACAACGCAATTGGTGGTGCCACCTGAAAATGCGAGAAATGTTCGGAAAAACGACGAATTCCCTAAACTGAGGCATAAAGAGCGGTAGTGTAAATGTTGTTATGACTGGATACTGAATGTATAGATTGCGACGAACGAGTGTGACCGTACCAGTGCGCAGCAGCAGCCAAAAGTCAGCACCACCCAACACCCTGTCTCCACCAAGGGTATAAAGACACTGAAGTTTCAAAAGAGGCTGTTCAGTTGCCTGACTTGGTGTTGGTGAATTAGGAACCAAAGGCTGAAAATCAAAATGCTGTTAGAAAGTGAAATGACTGATGCTTGTACCTAACTAAGTGTTTTATTTATTTGACAGTGTACCTACATGATATCCTATTGGTGATATTGTAAAAAAGCAACCATGATATTGTATGTTGATCGTTGCAAATACACCTATTAGATACTGATCTGCATTTGTACATTGGAGTCCCACATAACAAATGACTGTCTTACTGATGTAAGATAGTCATTTGTGATGTCAGAAATGTCATCAGAAATGTCTTACTGATGTATATGTGTTGCCCCCAGAACAACCTTTACAGAGTGCAGAGCTGTCAGCCCAGGTATTTGTCATGCAAGGACAAGGGATCGGTGGATGAGGGACTAACAGGATGGGGTGAGAGATGGACAGACAAGGTACTGGTGGGCTGGGATTGGCTGGGATGAGGGAATTAATTGCAGGCTGAGATATGAGGCAGATTGGCATGCTGATATGCCCCAGAATTGGCAAGTTATGACTAGAATTGCCCTGAAATCCAGCCAACTGGATGCCAAACAAACCTCTTTCTCTGGGCTCTGACACCTGAGCTTTGTCAACTGGGGACTGAGGGTTGAGTTGAGGATGAAATGACAACCCTCTGAAGTCTGACAGCCACATACAGCCAGTCCCCAACTTTGTCCAGCTAAAGCCTGCCACCAGGCACCAACTGCAACCATACTAGTCAAGAGCCATATCAACATTAACCACCTGTCCTGCTTCAGCCCCTAGCTGGATGCAGCCACAAGATGTGTGCTTTCACTACACCATATGGGATTGGCTGTCAGACCTCTCCAAGCAATTGCAACCTTGCATTAGCAGTACCTGACCTTACCTTACATTCTGTACTCTTAGACATTAATTTGACCTAATGTGGAAAAAGTATTACGAACACCGAGTTGTGCCAACAAAAATTTGTCCTGCAACCTTGTCCTGCAATTGCAATGCAATGTGCAATGGGTACAAGCTCAATTTTCCTAACTTTTCCCAGCCTCAGCCTTGTCAGTGTGCAAGCTGATGAGTAACCCACCTTCAAAGCTGAAATCAGTCTTGAAAGGTACGGATTCACTTGAGGCAATGATCCAGGAATGAAATAAAATACCTACCATGAATCCAGCAAATTTGTGTTATCAGACACAACCAAAACCCCTTTCAGCATGCAAATCTCTAATTGATAAAAATCGAATAATTGAAAGTTCGCGGAACACAGTCCATCTATCGAGAGGATCGAAAGGATCATCTAGGAATCCGCGAACTCAACCGCGAACTAAGGAATCCTTGGAATTATGTGGGAATTATCATCTCATGATTATTTCCTAAACAGCATTTTAAATTGCGTCACTAGTAATAGCAAAATATACTTTTTGCCCAAAACTTTGAAAAAAAATTGTTGGTATATGGATTTCAAATATCGACCGAACTAGACACAAAAAGTTTTCTTTCAAATTTGTTGAGAAAGTGATTTAAACTTGCATAAATAGCTAGGAATGCTAACTAGTTTGCATTCCGAATCACAAAGCCAAGGACGTCATCAAAATTACATATTTCTTAGACGTTTCTGACTCCTAAATGTACGGAAACATCGCAAACTTTCTGTTCGCAAGGCAACTTTTTCTGTTATTCTGTGTGCGCAAGCCGAAAAGCACCAATAGGTGTCCTAGACTGGGACATTCGCAGGGTTTTTGAGCAGGAAGTAAACGGAAGTGCAAGTCAACATTGATCAGCTGGGTTGCACGGGTTGCACCAAGGCTGCTCTGTAAAGATCTGAAAGTGTTTCCCAGAGATTTCAACCTCAAATCTATTTTCAAGTGTATGCAATAAGGTGGGTATACATTTTTAATGTGAAAATGTTCAGTCGATCGGCCGATATCTTGATGCTCCTTATTTTTGTGAAAATCGCCTATTGCACCCTGGGCTTCAAGTTGAATGAAAACCACACAATATTGTCAAAAACGGTACCACAACATAGAAAAATGCTCACTCACCTGGTTGACTCACCTGGTTGGGTTCTTTCAATGATAATTTGTTCACATTCATACATATTTTGACATGCTGAATCCAAAAAACATACATGTCAGGCAAGTCTGCCCAGCAAGTGCCATGTTAATGTGATGGGCTCAAACATTACACCCAAGGCCATATATAGGAGGTAGCGACACTGAGCACTGAGCAGTGAGCAGTTTGTTTAAAGCCAGTTTCGATCCCGGTGACGCAAATGTGTCGTCACAGGAAAAGCAATACGGCCACCTCTAATGAGAAACAAATGCAGGAAGTTCTCAGATGTAGTGACTTACACAACACGGTATTCTTATAGCAGGCGTCTCACATGCTGCCACCGGTTTGGGGAAAGTCGCTAGATTCGTCAGGTTTAGAGATAGTTCTACCAATTCGCTATTAAGGGTAATTACATAGCGGTGATCTCAAACACGGAGTCAGTTTTTTCTGAGGGGGGGGGGGGGGCAAGGGGGGTACCTACAACAGATAACTTGTTTCCCGGGAATGCCTGATCGGAGTCAGGCTTGCAAGGCCGCGTTGGAAAGCGTTCGAATAGACAAGCCTAATGGCTAATTAGTAATGCGAATTATCATCGGATACTTGGGGGAGGGGGGGTGCGTGGGGGGATGGCCCCTTGACTGATAGCTCGGGAACGGCTGATCGGAGCCAAGCTTGCAAGGCGACGTTGGAAAGCGGTCGAGCTCGAGTAGACAAGCCTAATTAGTAATGCAGACTATCATCGGAATACTGGGGGGTGCTTGGGGGGGGGGGGGGGTTGCCCTCTGACCGATAGCTCGGAAACGGCTGATCGGAGCCAGGCTTGCAATGCGGCGTTGGAAAGCGTTCGACTAGGCAATCCTAATTAGTACCCCCCCCCCCCCCCCACACACACACACCTTCCCCTAGTATCCCGATGATAGTTTGCATTGCTCATCAGGCTTGTCTACTCGAACGCTTTCCAATGCCGCCTAGCATGCCTGGCTCCGATCAGCCGTTCCCGAACTATCGGTCAAGGGGCAATCCCCCCCATGCACCCCCCCCCCCCCCCACCAGCATCCCGATGATAATTTGCATTACTAATAAGGATTGTCTACTCGAGTCTCGAACGCTTTCCAACGCCACATTGCAAGCCTGGCTCCGATCAGCCGTGCCCGAGCTATCGGTCAGGGGGCAACCCCCCCCCCCGCACCCCCCTCCCCCCAGTATCCCGATGATAGTCTGCATTACTAATTAGGCTTGTCTACTCGACCGCTTTCCAACGTCGCCTTGCAAGCTTAGCTCCGATCAGCCGTTCCCGAGCTATCGGTCAAGGGGCAATCCCCCCACGCACCCCCCCTCCCCCAAGTATCTGATGATAATTCGCATTACTAATTAGCCATTAGGCTTGTCTACTCGAACGCTTTCCAACGCGGCCTTGCAAGCCTGACTCCGATCAGGCGTTCCCAGGAAACAAGTTATCTGTTGTACCCCCCTTGCCCCCCCCCCTCAGAAAAAAAAACTGACTCCGTTTTTTTAAATCACCGCTATGTAATTACCCCATATAGCGAATTCGTAGAAATATCTCTAGCCCTGACGAATCTAGCGACTTTTCCCAAACCGGTGGCAGCATGTGAGACACCTGCTATAAGAATACCCACAGCACTGACGTCACCGGGATTGAAACCAATGACATTAGTACTGGACCTATGGCGAAACAAAGTAGTGACACCCCCTGATTACACCTTCATTTTGCAAGTGCGTATTTATGATCACCCCTTATGATAAGAGTAGTCTGATGCTCAATAGAAGCGATGAGGCTATCCCACAAAAAAAAAATACTAGTTAATCGGTAATCGGTGTAGACGAGCGCCTGCCAAGGTATAAGCCTCTTTAAAACTATTGAAAAGGGAACAACTTTGTAACAGTGGGAAACAATGAAATAACTCCACTTACTTGAAGTGTGGCTGTACCATGCTGATCATTAATATTCATTCAAAGTTGGCAAGCAGTCAAGCAGTTGCCAAGCCAAGATATTAAGTTGTCAAATATGTCACAGGCTTGGGTTGGGCCACTCATACGAGTACAGAGTTTTTACCATTGAACCACAGATAAACAGAAAATCGCTTGCTTGTTAATCACAGGTACTGTTGCTCATAGGCGGTAAATAGTTATTTCGTGACTCTGCTTTGCGGGTATATTTTGTCGTCTGACAGCTCTTCCTTTCCCCCGCAGGGTCCACCATGCAGGTGGCCGGTAATCCAGTGGCGATGCTGGAGCGTCGTGCTCTCGGCCTGGGCGGCAGTCACCTGACAGGGCTGATGGACCAGCGTCTGGACTCGGCCTCCTACCTGTATAACCGTGACCTGCGCGGACACTTCGGCTGCATCAATGCCATCGAGTTCTCTGGATCGGGGTCACTGCTGGTGTCAGGTGAGTGGTGAGAGAAGCTGCTGATGTTGCGCGGATTGTGTTGAGAGAAAGCGAACTTGATGTCAATAGTTGTTTGTTATCGCGGTTCGGGTATGCTGGGAAATATAAGTGATGATATAGAATCGGTGTAACGATCAATTCGTCACCTTTCCGATGTATTGCATATCATCTGAACATCAATGTTGATTACTTTCTGTTCTACCGAGAAATGCCAGTGCCACCGACGCCAACTGGGCTGGTCGATGCCGTCGTGCGTAACGCCGCGCGTTATTAGCTCTGAGTTTGTCGTTTCTCTTTGCATTTCCTGGCTGATCTCGTAGTAACTATGTCCGTTCGATAATTAGCGGATTTTGACGAATAGTTTGAGACACTTCCTTTCGATATTGTTCCGAGCCTGCGGTTATCGATTCCAAACTTATATGAGGCACTGCGTCGTCCGGATAGTTACATCGTCTGCTTTAATTCCTTTCTGGTGTTCTGTTATCCGTAGTTTCATAATGGTGCCTTTAGTGTTGGAACCTTGTCTGTTCATTCTGAGACATGAACTTTTAATTTCTACGCGTCATATAATGCCGACTGCTGGTGCTGCGGTGCTGACTTGCTGAGTGCTGACTGCCGAACACCGATTTCTGTCGGCTGATTTCTGACCCTGATCCCATGAGTTCTCTGACCTCAGTTCTCTAACGCTGACCAAAGACTCACGTCATCTGTTCTCTGAGCCTCAGTCTCTGTCCCTATACCTCAGACCTTGATCTCAACTTCTGGCTTCCGCTCTTTCACTACCAAACTTCTACGTACTTCTGGCTGAACTGCCTATGTCCGTCAGCCGACCCCGATCTCGATCAGTGCCTGAACTTCCTTCCCGCCGCGTGTTTTCTGGCTGACCATTGTGCTACCCGCTAACCCATTCCCCCACCCCTGCCGCCGACCCCACTGACCTCTGCCCTGTGACCGTGCCCGGCAGGCGGTGACGACCGCCGGGTGCTGGTCTGGGATGTATCGCGCACCGTCTCCGGCGGACCGCTGGCCTGTGTACCGCTCGTCTCACAGCATCTCTCCAATATATTCTGCCTGGCGTTTGACGGCTCAGAGAGGCGCGTCTTCTCAGCCGGGAACGACAAACAGATCATCGTGCACGACCTGACGACGTAAGTGCGATATTTGGAGTTACTGTGCTGTGTGGGGAGAATCCGCGCTGTTTTTGTTAAGTGATGATTTGTGAGACCTCCTACCGTTTTTTGATCGATATTGTTCAACGACCGTGAAGAAAATGGGTCTGATCATTCTATGTGACCCGTTTTCTCATTTACGTGTGGCCGTCCTATGCGGTTTTTCATAAATTAGCCTCACCTTTTCTAATTGATTCATTGCATCCCCGTCGATTTCTTGCTTATTTTTTTAGCGCATGCTCCCAGTATTGTAGCGTTAAGCGTTCAGTGTCCGTCCTCACTACTGTCCATGAATTATGGTGGTGTTTCATTTGAGAAGTCGGATACCGGGGGTGCTTTGGATTTGAATAGAGATATCCCAGGTCAGGTGACTGACAGATGACAGTGATATGTGACAAGAGGGGTGTTCACGGACACTGCACACTGCTGCGTGCGGTGTGTGCGGTGCGTCCAGCAGGCGTGGGGGTAGGGGATGGGTAGGCGGTTCTGACGTCACGGCTGCGTGCGGTGGACGGTCCGCTGTGGCCAGTCCCGACCGGCCACAGCGATCGCTGTGTGCGGTGACGGAAGGCTGACGTAGGGACGCGGTGGGCGGAGCTTAGAGCCTGTGTGCGGTCCGACCGCACACAGGGTCCGTGAACAGCCCCAAGATCACTCCGTCCCCCCCCCCCATGTTCTCTATCCACGGACAGGGGTGCCGCAGTGGATGTGTTCACCGAACAGCAGGCCGTCTACGGTCTGCACGTGAACCCCTCACAGGAACAGGTGTTCGTCGCGTCCTGTGAGAACGGCCGCGTCCTGCTGTTCGACCTCAGGATGAGTCTCGCAGGTAGGTCGGATGATGGGGGTGGGTGGGTGATGAACCTGGTGGGGCTGTGATGTCGGTGGTGTGGTTTCACCGCTAATAATCAGAACACTTGCTAGAATTCGAGAAAATTTGCTGGTCTGTAATTTAGGTACTTCTTGTATATGGATGTCCTTCAAGAAAAGGTGGGATATCGTAATATGTAATAAGCAGATTGTGGCTAGATTACAATTATCAGTGGCACTCCCCATTGCTGGGAGACTGCAGTGCGAGTGGACGATTACTATCGTGGGTGAAAGAACGCCACATTGTGCATATATGCGGGAGGAAGTGATGTAGCCTGCAATAGGGACACAGAGTCTCATATTATAACGATTCTGTAAAATTGATATCGCCTTTACGCTAGATGCAATCCAAAAATTCGCCGTAGCGATTTTACGTCATTACTGTAAAGATTCCACACCCGGTCACCGCGCTGACGCCTCTGGCCCTCCTCTGTCCCCAGACCCTCTCTCACTAGTGGAGGAAGGCCAGTCTCTGGCGGCCTACTACTCAGCCATGTTCAGTCCCATGGAACCGAGACTGGTGGCCACCGCCAACTCCAAGAGCGGTGCAGCCGTCTATGATGTGGCCATGCCCGGAAAGTAAGTCAATTTTAGGATTTTAGGATATTTAGCTAGTGTGTCTGTGTGTGACGTTGTGTACCTGTGTACTTACAGGATACTACAGCTGCAGTTCTGCGGCTCCGGCTCGCGGTACTACTCTGTGTGTGTGACTCTTAACCTGCGCACCTACAGAGTACTGCAGCGGTACGGCGGCTCGCGGTGCTGTAATTTGTGTGTCTGTGTGTGACTCTGTCTACCTGTGTACCAGCAGTGGCGGTCGCAGGGGGGGGGAGCATCAGGGCCATGGCCCCCCCCCCCAAAGGCAAATCAGGGGGGCATCATATCATTTGCCCCCCCCCCCCCAAACAACCGATGGGCCCCCATGGCCGTATGGGGCCCTGGCCCGTATTCGATTGTCACGAGGCTCGAGAAACCCACGCCAGCTATTAACAGCTCTCATACCAGTCTTTGAGGGTCCTACACGGACCTCTGAGGGCCCTTCAGTGGCGGTCATGCGTCCACATTGACCGCTGAGGACCCACATTGACCTCTGAGGGCCCTCCACTGGCCTTTGAGGGCCCCTAAACCGGCCTTAGGGGCCCAACCGGCGTCTGAGAGTCTCACACCGGCATCTGGTGGCCTCATTTCTGTCTCTCGAGTCCCAAGACCAGCCTTTAATAATTGTCTCTGAGGGCCCTGCGCTGGATTCTGAAGACCCGATGTCGGCCTCTAAGAGCCCGCATCGGCCTTTGGGGGCCCATCTTGGCCTTTGAGGGCCCTCCGCTGGTTTCTGGGTTCCAATGCCGGCCCATGCCGGCCTTTTAGGGCCCCAAACTGACCTCTAAGGGCCCATGCTGGCCTGTAAGGACCCACATTAGCCTCTGAGGGCCCCCGCACTGGATTCTGAAGACCCAATGCCGGCCGACCCGCATCGGCGTCTGAGGGCCCATCTTGGCCTTTGAGGGCCCACCTTGGCCTTTGAGAGCCCTCCGCTGGCCTCTGGGGTCCAATGCCGGCCCATGCCGGTCTTTTAGGGCCCCACACTGACCTCTGAGGGCCCCATGCTGGCCTGTAAGGACACACATTAGTCTCTATGGGCCCCGCACTGAATTCTGAAGACCCGATGCCGGCCTCTAAGGGCCCGCATCGGCCTCTGAGGGCCCATCTTGACCTTCGAGGGCCCTCTACTGGCCTCTGGGGTCCAACGCCGGCCAATGCCAGTCTTTTAGGGTCCCATTCTGACCTCTGAGGGCCCCATGCTGGCCTGTAAGGGCCCACATTAGCCTCTGAGGGCCCTCCCCCGCACTGAATTCTGAAGACCCGATGCCGGCCTCTAAGGGTCAGCATCGGCTTCTGAGGGCCCATCGTGGCCTATGAGGGCCTTCTGTCTGGGGTCCAACGCCGGCCTATGCCGGTCTTCTAGGGCCCCACACTGACCTCTGAGGGCCCGTGCTGGCCTGTAAGGACCCACCTTAGCCTCTGAGGGCCCCGCACGAGCTTCTGAAGACCCGATGCCGGCCTCTAAGGGCCCGCATCGGCCTCTGAGAGCCCATCTTTGAGGGCCCTCTACTGGCCTCAGGGTCCAACGCCGGCTCATGTCGGTCTTTTAGGGCCCCCACACTAACCTCTGTGGGCTCCATGCTGGCCTGTAAGGGCCCACATTGGCCTCTGAGTGCCCAATTCGGTCTCTGATGGTCTCAAACTGCCCTTTGCAGGCCCTGTGCTGGCCCCTAAGGGCCCAAACCAGCCTTTAAAAGTCCCACATCGGCCTCTGATGGTCCCATTTCTGTCTCTGGGACCCAAACTGACCCTTATGTGCCTCTGAGGGCCCCGTACTGGCTTCTGAAGGATCGATGCCGGCTTCTGAAGACCCATTACGGTCTTTAAGTGCCTCATACCGACACCTGAGGCACCACACTAGCCTCTGAGGGGCCCCAAACTGGCCTATGAGGTCTCTACACCGGCCAATGATGGCCCTGTTATGTTCTCTGGGGGTCTCATGCCTTACCTTCGGGGGTCATGCACTTGCCTCTGAAGGCTCACATCAGCCTCTAGGGCCCTACCTGGGCCTTTGAGGCCCTTCGCTGACCCTTGGGTCCAACGCCTGCCTCTGGGGGGTCTGACACCGTACTCTAAGGGCCCCATTGCAGCCTCTAGGCGATAGGTATCGCCGAAGCGCTATCGATGGGCCCATAAGTGTAGGAACCATGGGTGCAGTGGGCGCAGTTGCACCAACAATAATTCTGCAGTGAGTGCAGACAATGTATTCTGCATCCACAACAATCTGGAACAAAACCCCCTGTTCTCAGCAACACTACTTTCCATGCAGCACGACAAATTTAGGATATTTTGCCCACTATCCATCTTTCGAAGCATTTGCTACTGTTATGATCTTCAAAACTTACATTTGTGCCCAAGTAAAAAAAAAAAAAAAGATGAAACGGAACACATGTGATTGAACAGTGAACAGATACCGATGACCCACTGTCAAAAGTTTTAGCACGATGATCTTAGAAAATGGCAAAGTTAGCCGCCTAAGCCGCCTTTACTTTTGCGGTAATCCATTCACAGTTGCGTGAATTATTGACAATATCAATGCTTCAAATTGTTTTTGTTTTTTTGTTTTGTTGGGTTAGGCCCTTTCGGTCGACAAGACCATTGCAGAGCCGGAAGGATGATAGGAATTAGGGGGAGACATTGGTCTGGGCAGGCACCCTAGTGAGTCGCCGGGGCTGAGCCCGTCCAGAGGACAGGCCACCCAGCCCCAAGGCACTCACTGCACCCGGCTACGGGGTGCGCTCCCTCGGGAGCAGCGGTGCCGCTCCAAGGGAGCAGCCCGCGTGAGATAAAGTTGCCTGTCCAGCCCGGAGGGGGGTTGCGGCGTGGAGGAGAAGGATTTCAGTATCCTGAGGATAGAAGCACGGATAGGTGAATGCTTCAAAATGCACTTATCGGTACCTTTTCGACATGGTACACCCTCAAAGCTCGCATTGAGCCTCCGCTCGGGTGCCGCTCCCTACCCCCCTCCCCCCCCCCCCCCCGCTTCACCGGCCATGGCCTGGATTTCTGCACCCGTGCACTACGCCCGTGGGCCCCTTTAAGCTAGCACCGGGCCCCCCGGGTCAGCGCAGGGGCCCCTTTGCCAAGTTGCCCCCCCCCCCAAACTCCAAGTCTGCGACCGCCCCTGTGTACCAGGGTACTGCAGCGGTACGGCGGATTGCGGTACTGTCTGTGTGTCTGTGTGTGACTCTTAACCTGCGCACCTACAGGGTACTGCAGCGGTACGGCGGCTCACGGTACGGCGCCATGTCGGCGCGGTACAGCTCGGACGGACGCCGTCTGTTCGTTCTCCGTCGCAGGCTGCCGCCCGTGCTGTACGACCTCAGGACGTCCTCGGCTCCGCTCTGCCAGGTTAGTGGTACGCCCCAGTTAGGTACACTTCTTGTGATCTGCGATGTTTATCCTACAGCTGTGGGTGAATAGTCTACCGATTCATTATTTTACTTTGAGATGGCATCGCCCTATTTATGTATGATTCTCTATAACTTGTATTGCGCATATCGTCTTCTTTTTCCGCTCCAACCACTGTCACCGATAGATAAATTGACCGATTCCAACAGCTACAACATAAAACACCCACTGTTGCCCCTCGTACCCGCTGTCCAGCCGTCTGACCGGTTCCGTGTGTCGTTACAGTTCGACAACCCGCTCTACTACAACTCGTGCACAATGAAGAGCTGCTGTTTTGCCGGCTCCCGCGATCAGTACGTGCTCTCTGGCAGTGATGACTTCAGCCTCTACATGTGGAAGATTCCCGACGATCCAGGTAACTAACGAGCGCGAAGTCATGAGAAAACCGTGAGGATTCATTCGTGCTGGACTGCCTGAATGTATTGTTAGATATCAGCGTACATTTAGTCTTTTTGGCTAACAGATGCTGAAAGATGAAAACAGATGCTCGGAAAAGCTGCTTTTCTGTGCACGTAACCCATGCCGCGTATCACGGTTACCCCTATCACGGTCTCCTTTTCATCAGCCCCTCCCGTGCACTGCTTACGCTGAACGTTCAGCCGTTCATCGCCTGTTCCGTGTTCCAGAGGTACGACACGTGAGCCGGGCGCTGTATGTGATTGTGAGTACTGTAACACCTGCCATTTAACGTGTTTTCCGTGTTCCAGAGGTACGACACGTGAGTCGGGCACACTCGGTGCTGCGCGGCCACCGGTCCATCGTGAACCAGGTCCGCTACTGCCCCCACAACGGCCTGCTCGCCTCCTCCGGCGTCGAGAAGGTCATCAAGGTCAGTGGTGGGGACGGAGAACGGACCGGCCATATGCCGGTGAATTTATAGTGAACGTCACGTTCTACGGTGTGTATTAAAAAGAGACTAGAGATAACCGTAGTTTTATATCTGGAGGTTCTTTGCAATGCATTGTACCAACCAATACACTTGACATTCATCATATTCACCTACCTACAGCGTCTTTTCTGAATCTGGTGCTCGTTTTCGCATCTCCAACGTCCCTGACAACTGTCTTTTAATGTTCTGTCCTAACGGTCACTGACGAATCTCCGTATGTATTGTGTCGTACCCCGTCACTGACACCCCGCTCCCGCCTCCCGTCCGTCAGCTCTGGAGTCCGCTGCGCCTGCCGGACAGCCAGGGCGGCCTGTCGTTCGACTCCGAGCGTGACGGCCGTCAGCGGCGCACCCCTCGCCAGGGCGAGTACATCGACCTGGTGCTCAGCGCTGCAGAGGATGTGAGTTACGGCATCGTCAGCGTCCTGCCACTGGGTGTGGGGGAGTCTCGCGATCATTCGCCAGACAGTTGTGACAACTGGGAGCTCTGTGCACCACGATTGGGTTCCTTGGACTGCTTGGATGTGATCCCAATGACTGCTTTTGACAGTTCGTCGATTTAACTGTCTGTCGAGTATTTTTCTCTCGTTCTGTTGATAAAAAATGTGTGATCTGTGTCCAAGCAGCATCCACCTGCCCCCGCTAGGGCTGTGTTTGTCCCTTTGTGTTTGACGCTTCGCCTACCCCCACCAGGCGTTGGGGCCGGACATGCACGCGCAGACATCTGAGGAGGACCCGCGTATGCTGGCCTTTTTCGACTCGCTGGTACAGCGCGACATTGAGGCTCAGACCACGGAGACGAGCACGAGCAGTGAGGAGGACGGCGTGGGCCGCGGCGGCCGCCAGCCCAGCTCCGGTCAGTGGGGGCAGGCGGGGCAGTAGGGAAGGAGCGCCGAATGTGCTGGTGGTCTTTAGCTAGTCGTCAATACCGTGTTCCGTCTGGCGGCTGACTTGTGATAATGTGCACAGGGCGCTGCAGCTGTGGACGTGTTATAGTTTCATCCTAGTGGCTTGGCGTTTGTAAGCATGCGTACTGGTTTGCGGTTGCGATCAAGATACATATTCTATGACTGTGAATAATTGTGGGTATTGGCTAGGCTATGAAAGTCACCGTTTTACTGAGACGTTTCTTTTCAGACGAGGCCACTCATGAGCACCATAGCTATTTCGCTGCTACTTCTGACTCGGGTAAGTATGATAGGCACATTTGAATATCATCGACGGATTATCTACCTAACTAAAGCATAGTGTCGCTTTTTCAGCAAAAATGTGCAGTAATGTCCTTGTGACACTGATGTTTACTGAACGGCTAAGTGCAATGTGTACTAAAGTTTTTATTATCACAGACTAGACAGTTACTTTGTGTGTTGTGCAATGGAAGTTATTGTCCCGACCAACTTGAAGTGAATGTGGAGCCGTTTTAACACTCTTCTTCCCCACACCACAGAGGCCAGCCGGGGCTGTGACAACATCCTCTCCCGGATGATCGAGCTGAAGCGCGCTCAGCTGATGCGCGCCGCGCGCCTGCGCCGCAGACGGGCGCAGGGCGGCGCGGGAGACAGCTCCGGCTCCGACGGCGACCCGTCACCGCAGCCCGAGGAGCGCCGCCGCCGCGTGCTGCATAAGGCCAGGTGAGCGGCAATTATAGGGACTGGGGATCGGTGGAAAGTTGTGAATGCTATATACGCTGGAGTTTGCGCTTCAAATCATTAGACCGTTAACTTGTTTTCAGTGTTATTTGTCGCGGTATTCGATTATTGGTACTGTAAACTGCTGCAACTGTTCCGTATCGTAGCTCTGACACAACTTACAGACAGGGGTCACTTGGCCAGAGCTCTTGGTAGCCCTCCTTGACGCGTCCGGCCCCATGTATCAGCTTGTCACCCTTCGTTATCTGTAATGTCTGTGTTTGCGCGCAGGTACGTGTGGCTGCCGATGGGCGGCCGTCAGGTCACCACCCGGTACACAGCTCGCGCGCCGCCGCTCGCAGTGCTCGACTCCGAGCCCTCGGAGCCGTCAGAGCCGTCGGAGCCGGGTTCGGAGGGTCCGCCGGCGGAGGCCGAGCCCGCGCCGCTCCGCCGGCCGCCGCGACTGGCCGCCGCCGCCGCTGCTGACGGCCAGCCGTCCGGCTCGGGTCTGCAGAGCTCGGCGTCGTCCTCCGGCGGTCCGCGGCGGCCCAGCCGGCCCCTGTCGTCCGCCTCGTCCGAGAGCTCGTCCGAGTCGAGCGACGAACGGCCGCCGCACCACCGCCGGCTCGGGAAGCTGCTCAGCGCGCTGGGCGGCGACTCGGAGGGCGAGGAGTCACCGGTCCGCTCGCCGCCGTCCCCGCAGTCACCGGCCGGCCGCAGGGAGGCGCCGCTCACCAACGGCAACACCAAGGACAACTTCAGCAGGCTAAAGCGGAGCGACTTCCGGAGACGCAACTATCGCAGGCACCACTGAGATCGCCGCCCAGTGAGGTCGTGGACGTGTTTGGTGCCATGTTTATTCCCGATGTGTTCGTCAGTGATAGAATATCCGCTACCCAGCCGTGGAGGCGATAGACTGTCCCGATCGACCAGTCTTGGCAGTCAGCTAGCGCGAAAGCGTCTCGAGCTTTCAATCCAGGCCCGTTCGCGTGGGTGGTACATTATTGACCCTCCCTTCCTTGTGTCAGTGGTCGTGTCAGGGTAGCCGGCAACCGCCGTGCGGTGGGGAGATGACGTCACTGCTAATGTCCGAATGACGTCACTGGACGTGGCGTCATACTGACGGGTGACGCTAGGCTGTGCTTTGTGACATTATTTTTGTGAATATGCTTCAATATATTTTGTAGATGTGGATTTCAGTGTAGCCGCTGTTCATGAAGGTGCGTGTTGAATCGTGTGTCATCGTCCAATCGGAAAATACATCGATTCCAACGTCTATCGTCACCAAATTCATGTGCTGGCAGTCCATGTCCAAAGGCAAAACGATTGCCCACTCACACTCTAGGTACACGTGTGAAAGCTTATCGTGAATCACATTTGTGAGGAAGTATTGGCGGAACCATAGAAATAAAGGGCGGAACAAAGTCTACACTGATCCATGATGTGTTTCTAGTGTAAAAAAAAAACATGTTAAAAGTGAACTGTTTCCTTTAGAACCAACCACGAGGCACACTGGCGCCACTCTCTTGAAAATGCTGAAGAAGAGCGCTAAGAGCGTTATTACTTACTTTATCTGTAATATGAGGTACATTTGATCTCTTTAGTTGCAATTGTCTTTTATGTCCTTGGTACTCTAATGTTAAAGGTATTATCAGGGTTTTTTCCGAAATTTCGGAGTTACTCAGTGAAACGTGTAGAAGAAGGTGGCTGAGGCCCCAATCCGAAGTCATTCGTCTCAAAATTGCCTAATTTCCAAATGGTGGGCCTCCAAAGTTGATCCGTCTGCCAGCCAGTACCTGGAGGAGGCAGTACCAAGTACTCGGATACATTTCCCTATAAGTCCATAGGCTTAACACTAGCTAGAGACTTCTAGAGACATTTTTTATGCCAGATAAGGCCGTCGCATACCAGATAAGGCCGCAACGGCCGTTCAACGTTACGTGGGGAAATGGGAGAAATCTAATGACTTTTTTTCTCTGACGTCTCCACTCCAATATCTCTAGCGCAACTGGCAAGCGTTGTTAGCATTAACCCGGTTTACATAGCATATTTGACGAGGCTCTAGCTCGTTAATTTGGCGATAATTTCGTTGCAGTGGTCTTCAAATATTTAGAGGGGATCATTTTGTAAATTGTTAAGCACCATTGGCATCTTTTGCAATATCACGGACGGAGATATAAGTTTGCAACAAACCCTATGTAAACGCGTCTATTGGCTCGCGTCGTCGTAAATAAGATTTGTTTGACGGATATTCCGTAAGTTGAGTGTGTTGTTGTAATTTCTGAGGCTGTATGAGTTGGACGGAATGGCGCCATCCCGCCATGTGCGAAATCTGTGCGAAACAAAGCTGTTCCTATTCATATTTGAATGTTCAAGACTTTGACTTGTGGGCTTTGTAGCCAGTGCGTGTAGCTTCTAGATATCCTGTGGGTATCAAAATAATTACAAAATTGTGTTGTGTGCTTTCAAACTAAGCTCATCCCGAGTGTAATTCAAGAATGTCTTAGTTCAAGTAATTAAACTTGAAAGTGATATAGCTCCAGCAATGAAGAAGCTTGGATGGAACGTTGAATCAAAGTTACCTATCATTTGTAATGTTAATGCTAAGCGCTGAACGTTACCAATAATTCGAGACATCCGTTGTAAGATGTATGACGCAGATCAACTTTGATCAAGTGAAGAAAATTGATTTTAGATGAAATAATGTCAATGTTCAAGGCTGAGCGACTGGCAGATTTCGGAGTGAGCACGAGTGGCCTTGAGACATTCTGTTTCTGTAGGTACTCAAAATAAATAAATTATCATGTTGTGTGCTTTGAGGTTAAGTGTTATCAGTGGTGCTTCATGGTTGTGCTTTGTTGTTGGTGTATGGGCATGTTTTGAGCACATTGCAGCATGATATTGGTGGTGTGTAAAGCAACTGATCTCCGCAGACTTTGCACTTACTTGCAAAGCCTGCAGACTGACTTTGCAGACTTTGGCTGACAATGAGCAATGCATTGCTGACTGATATCATTTATTCTGTGTTTGTAGCACAAAGTACAGAAGTGGCACATACATTGTTACTTTGAAAACCTAATGTGAATTTGATGTAGAAAATTGGTGGCTGACGTTGAGTCCTTACGTATTGTGAGTAGTGTACAGCTGGTGCATTGAGCACAGACTTGAGACCAGTGACATTTGTATCAGTAGACTGTGTTTGAGTCTACTTATATGGGTAGTCATAAAGCAGGTGTCACACAAAACAAGTGTGACGCCTGCTATACTACTACCCTTATATGGCCTTGGTTTGAGTGTGGTGACCGAGTAAGCTGGTGTGTATAGCCATGCAAAAAGTGTTTTGAAATATATTTTTGGGACAGTATTGAAATGGTGTGTTTTGGCCATCTGGCATGGATGATGGAAAGCCACTAACTCAACTTCAGGAACGCTTCTTCATTATGCTCATCTAAGGCACAATCATCTATTTTCTCTTCGCAAGGATTTATTCCTAATTCACTGTCAATTATAACCTGGGGCAGAAGGTTTCGCTGGGCCACACGGTTCATACAGATTCATCCACAGTGCTCAGCAGTGCATGTTTTCAGATTTCAACAGACTGTAATTGTTTCTGTATGTACATATGCATCATGCAAGGGTACAACAGATGCGGTATTTGGTAAGCAGTTGGCAGCAAGGTGGTGTTTGTACTTATTGGCAGAACCAGTTGAGCAGGACTAAAACTATCCTAGTTTCTCTTCAATTTACTCAGATCCGTCTCAACACATTGAACATATTGAAAGCGTCCATCCATGAAGATGTCTGCATGTATACTCATTTCCGAGAAGGCACGGTCGTCGCTCATCCATTGCCGAGCAGGCACTTGCGTGCCAATCGCCGGCGCGCATTAGCGCGCGTCCATGGCTGGGGCGCACGAGCGCGGCCATGGCCGGCATGCACGCGCGCGCGCGCCCATCGTCGGCACGCAAGCGCGCGCGCGTCCATAGCCGGCGCGCGCGCCGCGTCCTTACCCGGCGAAAACGCCGCGTCCGTACCCGGCGCGCACCCGCGCGCGTCCACAGCCGGCACTGACAGACCCTGACCGACGGGCGTGCTGCCGTCGGCGGTCCTGACAGATGGGCGGCGGGCCCGGCTCCCGCAGCTCCGGCAGCGGGCGGCAGCCATGGTCGGCATACACGCGCGCGCGCCCATCGTCGGTACGCAAGCGCGCGCGCGTCCATAGCCGGCGCGCACCCGTACCTGGCGCGCACCCGCGCGCGTCCGTACCCGGCCCGCACCCGCGCGCGTCCACTGCCGGCACTGACAGACCATGACAGACGGGCGTGCTGCCGTCGGCGGTCCTGACAGATGGGCGGCGGGCCCGGCTCCCGCAGCTCCGGCAGCGGGCGGCAGCTCCGGTGACTGTTCCGGCAGCTCCGGCAGCGAGCGGCGTCTCCGGCAGCGCTCAGCAGCGGCGCCAAGCAGCAGCAGCGGCTGAGCCAACAGGCGGCCGCGGAGGCACGCCCCCCCCCCTTGCACATTGCTCGTCCATGGAGATGTCTGCAAGCACGCCCATTGTTGAGAAGGAACGTGCATCCATGGCTGAGCACTGAGCAGGCACGTGCGACCCCTTTGCACATTGTTCATCCATACATATCAATATAATTTACCTTATTGATTAGTGTGAGTCTTACAAAATCTTAAACTCAGAAATACCACAAGGCAGGCTGCCTGGGTGAGTTGCTAATATGAACATAATGAACATTATACATTAGTGCAGTACCAATAAGTATCCATGCTGTGTGAAGGACTTGGCCCTCACGTTCATTCGTTTGGTGATTGCACATGGTGGCATGTGTACCAATTGTTCTCCCTAACCCTTCTTACAACTTTGACTAGCAAGTAGAAGCTGGCAAAATGCAAGGAGCTTACAAAGTATGCTTATATGTAGATAACTGAGGATGATTCTCTCAAATGAAGCATGATCTGCACTCAACAGCTTCTTCTGTTCTGTTCCACAAACTAAAACTGAAATGCCTCAATTTTCCTCAAAATATATTCATTTATCACTCATAAACAACAAAAATATACATTAAGTAGGTACCAGGGCAATAAAAAACATACAAGTTACATATTTTTTCATGTACAGTCCTTTCACAGCAACAATATGTTGAAACGCACCAAGACGTTCACGGAGAGCCCACCCATAACAAACTATAGTTGAAGGCGGGGCTCTGCTGCAGCAGCACTAGCAGGGGAGACGTACAGGGCACAGAGGTCATGTCACAACATCATGTTGTACGACCTGTTGTTCGAAAAACAGATCAACATAGATCTTGAAAAACTGTAGCGCTTTCTTCAGTCACTCAGGTAAGCTTTCTCGCAAGACGTTACATTAGATTCACCACTCTTGACAAAATAATCAGATTCAAACTTAGCTCTTGTGCCTGATGCACTTACATTTCAATTTATTGAAATAAAACACTCAAAATTAACCTTGAAAATTGTTGACATTTAAATGATATTAACATCAATATTTTGATGATCAGCAAACAAGCTATTCAAATCACACCCAAATAATAACTTTGGCAATGTTGATAACTCTTGCTGTCTTATTGAAAAGTAAATCTTCAATTTGTTAATATCCAAATCCAATGCCAAGCACTGAAATCTTGTTGCAAGGCCCTAAAAACAACAGACAAAAACAAAACAGACAAGGCCCGTCTTGTGGAAATCGCCAGTGCGGTGCGGCGGCCTTGGCGAAATTTCCCAAGGCTGCTCTTTGTTTACATTTTAGCGATGGGCCAACTTGGCCGCCCAAGTACTTGTTTTGCGTGAGTAAGTACAATTTTGTCAATTTTGAAACGGCTATATCTCGCAAATTTTGGTACCGATTTACATTTTATGCATATCTTTAGAATCGGCAGAGTCTGGGGAGTTCATTGATTGGAAATTTATGCCGATTCCTTTCAATTTTTAAACCCTGATAATCCCTTTAATGGATAAACCCACATGATAATGTGAAGAATTTGTTGATAATGACATAAGCTTTGTCCTGCCGCGTCCATCAGGGCCCTGTTTCACCGGTGATAGCAGCAAGCTGCTATCACGTTTCGCGAGCTGACGTCATGTCGTGACGCCATACTGTTGACGTAATGGGTAGTTCCGGCGCACGATTGCCGCGACCTTGGCGGCGGCATTAAGTGACGTATGAGCCTAAAAGTAAGAGTTTACGCAGTCATGATAGTATATATATTTTTGATATATATTTTTTTCAATATGATGTATTTAAAAGAAGTTGGGTTTAGGAAAAATTTGGACATTAACTTCGAACATTTAGCTGATGACGTAAAATAATATTGCGGCAATCGTGCGCCAGAATTGCCCCTTACGTCAGCAGTATGACGTCATCACATTACGTCAGCTCGCGCAATTTGATAGCAGCGTGCTGGGCCCTGTTTCACCGGTGATAGCAGCAAGCTGCTATCACGTTTCGCGAGCTGACGTCGTCGTGACGCCATACTGTTGTCGTAATGGGTAGTTCCGGCGCACGATTGCCGCGACCTTGGCGGCGGCATTAAGTGACGTATGAGCCTAAAAGTAAGAGTTTATGCAGTCATGATAGTATATTTATTTTCAATATATATTTTTTTAATATGACGTATTTAAAAAAAAGTTGGTTTTAAGGAAAATTTGGACGTAAACTTCGAACATTTAGTTGATGACGTAAAACAATATTGCGGCAATCGTGCGCCAGAATTGCCCCTTACGTCAGCAGTATGACGTCATCACATTACGTCAGCTCGCGCAATTTGATAGTAGCTTGCTGCTATCACCGGTGAAACAGGGCCCTGCTATCACCGGTGAAACAGGGCCCTGTGGTCTGTTCGCAGGTACTCGTGACGTCATAATACTCCCGGGCGTGTTTCGAAAACAGAGATAAGCTTATAGTATTTCCTTGAACGAAAAGAAGTGTGGACTTGTTTGTTGTTATTGTTTATTTCAAGATCAGTGCTCGAGCTAATTTCAGTCAAGGCGTTTGCCCTAAGGCCTGTTGTAGATTTCAAATATTTTAATTTATTCAGCTTCACAACATAACTAGTGAGTTTGCCCGGTGATACCCGTTTAAAAGATCGCGTTAGCATTGTTGCATTCTTGGTTGCAGTATTGGTATTACTTCAACATGGATGGATGGACAAAACAATCAGATCAATGGCTACCTACTATGATCTAGAGAGTAGAGGATGGCCTTGTCTGTTATCATTTCATACCTACCTTACCTTGAAGGTCATCGGGATAGAAAAGCCCACTTGGCCTAATCCTATAGGTCCCGTTCTCACCGAGTTACTTGGGGAGACATTCATGACTCGTAAGTTTGTGGCATGACATACATTAGGTGGGTCCAGTGATGGTCAAGTCGTGCCTTGAATGTCGAGAGTGTTTCGGCCGATACGACCTCAGCAGGTAGAGCGTTCCAGTCGTTGATGATGCGGACGCTGAAGCTGCTTCGTCAGGCGAGAGTCACAGCTCGGGGTTTGAGCAGCTTCCATCCGTGTCCTCTCGTCAGCTCGGTCTCGTTCTTGGTGAAGAAGGTCGTTGGCGGCACATCGATTCCACCGTGGAACAGCTGGTAGACCGTCAGCATGTCTCCCCTGCAGCGGTAGAGCAACGACGGTAGTCGGAGACGCTTCAGACGCTTGGGGTAGGGAAGGTGCTTGATGGATTCCACCATACGCGTGGCGCGTCTCTGGACCTTTTCTAAGCGTTTCTGGTCTCCTTTGCTGAACGGTCCCCAGATGGCGTTCCCAAACTCCAGAAAGGGGCGGACGAGAGCCTTGTAGAGCAAGGGTAGGGTCGTCTCATCGATGTGAGCGAAGGATCGCTTGATGACCGCGAGCAGCTGCGAGGCTTTTGAAACGGCCGCGGCCGTTTGGGAGTGAAACTTCAGCTCAGAGTCGATTATGATCCCCAGATCCCTTTCTTCGTCTACCACGGCGATGGGCGTCCCGTTTAGCCGGTATTCGTGTGCAGGGTTTCTTGAGCCCATGTGCATCACCTTACACTTTCCTGCGTTGAACGGCAGCAGCCACCTTGAGGACCATCGTGCCAGAGCGTCCAGATCACCCTGCAGACCAGCACCACGTTCGGATGGATTTGTCAGTGGCTTATATAGCTTCGTGTCATCCGCGAACATCTTCATATTGCTTGAGACTTCTAGTGGCATGTCGTTGACGTATATTGTGAACAGCGTCGGTCCCAACACTGAACCTTGGGGGATACCGCTGGAGACTGGTGCCCATTCAGAGATGCAGCCCTGAATCAGCACCCGTTGACGACGGCCAACTAGGAAGGTCTGTATCCAGGTGAGAAGTTTACCTCCGACACCATACGACCTCAGCTTCTCGAGAAGACGTTTGTGCGGCACCGAGTCAAATGCTTTAGCGAAATCTAGGTAGACCACATCCACCGGGGTTCGGTCCTCCAAGGCAGTGGTCCAGTCTTCGAGTGCCTCAAGCAATTGGGAGCTACACGAACGCTTCGCCAGGAAACCATGCTGAGATCTGTGAAGCAGGCCGTTTGCTGACATATGGTGCAGGAGCTCATCCCTGATGACAGATTCGAGGACCTTACAACAGACGGATGTCAGGCTGACCGGTCTGTAGCTGGATGGCAGGCGGCGATCTCCTTTCTTGAATATCGGAGTCACGTTGCCGATCTTCCACTCTGGGGGGACATCCCCGGAGTCCAGCGATTTCCTGAAGATCCAGCTCAGTGGGTGGGAGAGGACGGCTGCATTCTCCTTCAGTACGCGAGGGTGAAGGCCATCGGGTCCTGGTGAGCTGTGTGCTCACAGCGCTGCCAGCTTGGTGTGTACCCGTAGCGGGGAGATTTCGACGTCCTCCAGAAGCGGTCCGTGATGAGGGCGCTCCAGGACAGGCATGGTGTCTGACGCTTCTTTGACGAAGACGCTACTGAAGTATCTGTTCATGGCGTTAGCTTTTGCCTTGTCAGAAGACACCGTTTCTCCATTCTCATCTTCTAGGTCGCCGATGCCGTTTTTGGTCTTGAGGCGTGAATTTGCGTACCGCCAGAAGCACTTCGGGTTATCTTTGATTGACAGTACCAGCTTTTGCTCATGTTGTCTCCGGAGGGCTCTGGTCATGTTCCTCAGGTCGTTACGACACCTGACGTACCTGGCGTGATCGAGTTCATCGTGGCTTCGGCAGTAGGTGCTCCACAATAGCCTTTTCCTTTTCCTCAGTTGGAGGGCATGGCGATTCATATATATGTTGTGTTCAGAGGCCTTCTTTCTGATGCTGGAGCATGACTCAATGGCTGCACAGATTGACGAACTAAAGAAGGTGTGAGCTTCATGAGTAGTCATGTTCCTCATCACCGCCCAGTTGCACGATTCAAGCGCATTACTCAGTGAACGATAGTTGGTGCGAGAATACATGCGTGGCAGCGAGGATGGCGCAGGTGCGTAGCACATCAATGTGAAGGTAAGGATTACATGATCACTTCTACCCAGGGCAGGGCCATACTCAAGGTTGCGAACCATACCCTCCTCATTGGTAAAGACTAAGTCCAGAGTACTTGGCCTCTCTCCAAGCCTGTAACGTGTGGGCTGGGTAACGTGTTGGAACAGGTAACAATCCTGGATCGTCTCTACAAAGGAGTGCGTGGCTGAAGTAGATGCACCAGTGTCCCAGTCAATGCCAGGAAGATTGAAGTCGCCAACGATGACAAGGTGTGAGAAGGGGGCTACAGCTGCTTGGTGAATCAGCTGCTCCAGCATTTCAATGCTTTCTTCTTGGGATCCAGACGGGCTTCGGTAGATGCAGCCTATCAACAAGTGATCTGTTCCTTGTAGCTTCAATCCAACCCAAACATCTTCAATCATTGATTTGTCAAAGACTACCTCAGAGACGCTCAGATGCTGTGCTACATACACACAGATACCTCGTAATCCAGAGTTGCCCAGGTCCATCATACCTGGATTGAAGTTGGTGAATAACAGGTATCCTGGAATGTGCAGCAGTGATGGGGCAATAGGCAGTCTCTGAGCTTTTGGAAGGGTCTCAGTGAGCAGCATCACATCTGGCTCCTCTCCACAAATCCTCATGCTTAGCTCGTCCCTCTTATTTATGAACTGGTCTGTGTTTGTATAGAGCACACGAAGATTTCTGACGGTCTTTTTCCTCTGGCTCCAGGCTCCATTTACTTTATCTAGTCAGTCTTGCCGAACTGGCTCTCTGGCACTTGGCAGTGCCATTCTGGTTTTCAGGCTGATGAGTGTCCACCACAGCAGAGCTGTCCTCCTGTTGGTGGGTGTTGTGTTACTTGTTCCAGAGCCGGCTGACCCCCTGGCAGGAGGAGTGGGCTGCACAGCTGCAGAGTGTCCGACAGGTCTCGCCAGCTGCTGTATATCCATCCCATGAGCAGGGTTTGAATCGGGTAGGGGAGAGCGGGGCCAGTTGAAACACGGGGTCAGATGAAACATGGCTTTATTTTCAACGGTATGCAACATATGGCGTTGCCGACACCACTGCGCATCCGCGCTCGACCACTTCCTTTGTCAACGGCGTTTGGGCGGCAAACGGACGGTAATTTTGATTTGACACTTGTTTTTGTGTTTTTGAGGGGCGTTTGGGAGAAATCGTTTTTATGAATATTTTGTGATATCTCATATACCTTTGTTTGCTGAAAGAAGAACTCCTGGCTCCGGAATAACACGTTATTTGGCCCTTCATTCAGCATGATGCCGTCCCTCCAGCTCGTTTGACATGTGCTTTACGGCGCGTGCGAGATGGCGGGAGCGGATGGGGTCAATTGAAACGCTTCTCTGAGGGTCAGTTGAAACAGGGCCACAGGCCGTTTCAATGGACCCCGGTGACCTTTGCAATGGTTATTGTTCAGAGGCTGTAAACATTAAAGGAAATAGTCCACCTTTGAAATGAGCTTTTAAACTGAAATAGTAGTTTAATAGGGCTCAATTTTTAACTCCTTTTCTCCAGCCTTTTGCTTGAAAGCACACTATAGCCTGAGATATTTCTCATTTTCCTCATCCACCCATTTTACCATAGTCTATGTACTTTATGTCACCTATTATGAGGAACTTTGCACTTTTAGCTTCCCAACGACCTATTGAATGTAGCATTTGGAAAAGTAAACCGGACAAAATATATCCGTAAGAAAGTGGCCTTAAAGAGGAAAACATCCCATCAGGGGTGCGGAGCCGGAGCCGGAGCCGCCGGAGCCGGCACATTTTTGCTAGGAGCCGGAGCCGGAAACGGAGCCGCCATGACATTTCACCCGGAGCCATAGCCGGAGCCGGAGCCGATTGTATTTCTCCGAAGCCGGAGCCGGAGCCGAAGCTGTCTGAAATTTCCACGGCTCCGCATCCCTGCATCCCATTGTTAAGGATAGGTGCAATTGACCCCATGGGCTGGTTCAATTGACCCTCGCATCGGGGTCATTTGAAACGGGCGTAGAGCTGTTTTATAAGCATGCGTTTGGCAGCAAAATATGTTTGAAACATAATTTTACATATCTTAAAACAAAGCCAAAAGAACATATTTTTTCATGGTATTGTGCATTTTTCGATATGACAACTAGATCTCGCTGTGCATGTCAATATATAAAAAGTGGTTCAACTGGCCCCGCTCTCCCCTACCTGTGCTCTATCAGTGCCTGCTGAAGATGCAGCATACATTTTCCTTGTTGCAAAAAAAAAAGATTTTCAACAATGTACCATTCACTGAGCTGACAAGGCCATTACAATTGCTTGTCACACATCAACATGGTCAATCTTTCTCTTGCATGCACTAGCTCAAGCTGAAGCATCACATAGGTGACAAGGTGTGTCTTTTGAAAAAATGGGTAATTCATATCCATTATCATTTCGGTACTATTAGGGCATGGTGAATATCATTACAATCTGGCTTGTGAGTTGTTGGTACAGTTCTACCCTCTGCGGACTAGGAAGACCCAGTTACGAGTCATCTGGGCTTTATTCTGATCCGCAAGTCAAGAATGAGGCATTAATGCCTGGGGGCGATTGAAGGGAGAAACAGAGAGGGTCAGATATGGAGAGAAAGAGGGCAAGAGCAAGAGCAAGAGCAAGAGGGGATGGAGAATGATATCAAGAGCCGAGGGATGGATGGAGATGGCAAGAGTGGATAGCGAATGATACCAAGAGGGATGGAGAAAGATGGCAAGAGTCTACACTCTACGTCTACACAGAAAGAGAGCAAGAGCTTGTTTATGGACAAAGGTAGCAAGAGGGAGGAGAGAAACTGAAACAGAGAAGAGAATTAAGAGACAGAGGAGAGAATGAGAGGAAGAGATTTTCACCAGAGAGAGATAGAGTGAGGAAAGTGGAGAGGATCAGAATCATCCCTCTCCCCTTCTCTCTCTTTCTCTCTCTCTCTCTCTCTCTCTCTCTCTCTCTCTCTCTCTCTCTCTCTCTCTCTCTCTCTCTCTCTCTCCCTCTCTCTCTCCCTCTCTCTCTCTCTCTCTCCCCCTCCCTCTCTCTCTCTCTCCCTCTCTCTCTCTCTCTCTCTCTCTCTCTCTCTCTCTCTCTCTCTCTCTCTCTCTCCCCTCCCCTCCCCTCCCCTCCCCTCCCCTTTTCTTCTCTCTTCTCTCTCCTCTCTTGTCTTGTGTTGTCTTGTCCTCTCAATCTCATCCTCATTCTGATAATTAATGAACCACCATAGAAATGGATTGAATCAACATTGATTGATATTTCTGAGTCTCGAGTAGAAATCTTGAAAATTTTAACGTCTGTGGCTCTGACTCTGGCTAGAACTATCGACGCCGACCTATTCCGACTCCACATCCATTTTCAGAAAGCTGCTCCCATTTTCCCCGACTTCGATCCTCGAGACTTCGATCCTCGAAATATCATCGAGTCTGCAATTGCATCAATCTCAGTGGGTGCCCGGTCAGAGGCTGGGGGGGGGGGAGCAAGTTGCCTCGCTTGTCCCCCCCCCCCCCCCATAGCGACGATAATGGGGATCGTTGTTGTTATGTGACGTTACCATCAGACATAAGGGATCAAAATCATACAATATACTCTTTTTTACAAAGAATGTGCGGTTCGAGAATGAATGTCTCGCATAGAGCGATGCAGCCGCGGAGTTTGATTTCTGATGGTAATCCACCCGTGACCCGATGTCACGTCCCCATGTCGCTACTCAGCCTGTGAATATACCCGACTTCAGGGCAGAAACAGAGCCGCTCTGACTGGTCGATTGGTTAGACTGGGAACATTTCAACACCGGCCGTCTACCGCCGTATGCTGACGCAATCGTACGCCGCTGCATCTGCAACTTTATCACGTGCCATGCATATTCATTGCCCTGCTTTTGATTCATTCTGGCCAGCTTGTGGTCGGAGGGCCCGACAAGCGCGTTTGGACTGCTCGGTGACTGGATGACAGACTGGAATCCAAGTCACGATGATGTGCGAGCTCGTATTCGTTAACGCCGCGGTTCCGCCTCGCAATCACGATGCGTTTTGTGAGTGCGATGACTGCGTTAGTTTGAGAGCAATTTCGTGACTGCCTCTTTCTATTTTTCCCCGTCTTATTTCTTCCGGGTTCGTCTGGGCTGCCTGGTAAGAGCTTTACAGCATTGACAAACCATTGGCCACAGGGTCCTCAGAGTTAAGATTATCGAATAGAATGAGCAGTTGATTGAAGTGAAATGAGTGTTGAGTAGGTAACATAACTTCTTACCTACGGAGATTTTAGGATAAAATAGCGACTTCAATTCATCAAATATGCGAATATTGATTTTTGCGACTAAGTGTAGGTAGCAAATGATTTGAAGGCTGCTCTCCTAACAGTACAACATGTAGATCTTCAAATCTTTTACGAGAACATTTGCGATACTATGCTTCCGAACAACACCGCCCGCTCCCCCATGCCTCTGCACCGGCCTGTCCGTGACCGCCCGCCCGTCCTCTCCGCCCACAGCGGTGACGATGCGCGCCCCATGTCTGCGCTGGAGCCAGTGGGCCGGCCGGCGGCTGGCGCTCTCGCTCACTCCGTCGCCAGCCTCCGCCTGTGTCGGTCGTGCTCCGTCCCGCTCGCTCGCCACATCAACGCCGCTCGCCATGATCAAGGTACCGGTGTGGGCTGTGGATGAGACGGGTTGGGTGGGTTATGATATGTGTGTGTGGGGGGGGGGGGTAGTGTGTATTTAGTATTATTTTAGTTTATTTATGTGTGATACTCCGGAAATAATTATTGATATCTATCCCGGCATCTTATCAAGGTTATTTCTGTGATCGGTGGGATTGGAGGAAAACATCTACGAAATAAACTGCGGACAGTTTGTATGCAGCCGCGTCAAACCGCGACTGATGCGATAGATCATTGGGTTGTCATTTAGTCAATGAGTGGATATACTCACCTTGATGGTGCTGACTCTGTTTAACCTCGTTCGCTGTCCCTCACAGGTCGGAGACAAGCTGCCTGAGGCCACCCTCTTCGAGGACTCGCCGGCCAACAGCGTGAAGACCAGTGACCTCTGCAAGGGCAAGCGGGTCATCCTGATCGGCGTGCCGGGCGCCTTCACACCGGCATGCTCCCAGGTACGGATTAGGGGGCAGTCACTGACGGTGTTTATCGGTCTGGAAGGCTGCGGTTTGGGCTTTGTGCCTGCTGGGTTTGTGAGACTCGATGTCGATATTAGCGTTCGATGGAGAAGATAATCATACTGAAAACTCCGTTGTAAAGCTCTTGTTTTGTAAGATACCCCGTTGTAAAAAGTACTACATTGTCAATTTTCAGGATTGTCCTAGCAAAGACATTCGTTTTTTTTCGGCTAAGCAAAGACGAATGACAAGCCAGTGTTGAGCTGAAGACTTAACAAGGTATAAATTTGCAGTACTTTTGAGTGTTGCAAATGTGCTGCTGTCTAGGCTGCATGCCTTTCACTACAGCTGCTCCGATGACTACCATAAAGCAGCTCATGAATCATACATGTGGTCTTCTTGAAATCCGTTTGCACTGTGGTGTACTCAGGGCCATGTCGCACCATGTTTATGGTGCAATGTTTGACGCTGTGTCGCAGTAAACAACCTAATCAAACGTCATTAGGTTCTCAGTAGAGCTACACCGCCAATCACTCGCATAGCGCCAATCACCTAAACGGTATCCTGAAAGACGCCGCCGTGTTTGCCAACTGTGGGTCGGTTTCGCGAGTCCACAGTGTCCCAGTCGAGTGTTTGCTCTGCCCCATTGGTAGTCCCACGGTCTGCTGTCGGCGAGTCGTGCCGACGGTCCGTTCCAGTCGTTTGAGTGGCGTCACTCCCCAGCTGCACCGCGTCACTGCTCACCCCACGGCCCCAGGCTCCGCTCAATGTCACCAGGCGGCGGGTGCAGACGTGCCTTCCGCCTCGCCGGCTAGGCTGGTGGGGCGTCCAGTGTTTTTGTCGAGTCCCTTTCAGTTCGCTTCCCCCTCTTGTAGGGGAGAGGGAGAGTGCTGAGTCATTGGGTCTGAGCGTTGCTGCCGGTCTGTCGGCGGCAGGGTGACGGAACTCAGGGAATCCCTAGCTAGTTTGTGCTTTGCTGCACCTGATCCGGCGTGACGTGTTGGGACGCGGCCCGGGGTTCACCGGCTCTGTCGTGGATAACTAGCTCGGTTCCGCTGGGTGCAGGGGTGATATCACCGGTTGGATAGACCTGTCCCGCCGGACTTAGACCACCGCTGACTACAGGCCAGGGCCTCCTCTAACATGTTAACTGGGGGGCCGCCCCCCCCCCCCAGTGATGCCGCTGCCCCCCCCCTAGTGGAGCTGAAATCGCGTCACTGGGGGGCCAAGCAGTTAAGCAAATCACGTCGAGAAAATAGACCCCACCCCTAGGTCTTTCGCGAATAACTCGCGTAAAAAGTGGCCCAGCGTGACAAATTTTATAGTAGGTATCCTCGTTATTACTTTAATTCTACACATTTCCTGAAAATGTTATTACCCTCTTCCCTGACCCTCATTCTCATTTACCTCTGACCTGGTTCTTGAGTCATTTTCAGGTAATTAGCTTTTAAGGATGGTGAGCTGTTTTTAGGCAGGTAGCTGTTGGTTTCTAGCATTTGGGAAATCGATACCTAAGCCCTCACACTTTCTGCGGTCGGTTAGATTCCTTACACACTGCTGTGCCGTTTAATACCTTTTTTAATAAAGGCATTGTGTTTCGTTTTCGAAAAGCCGAAAATTTTCGTCGATTTCGGACGCTGCGGGGGATATTTACCCCCAAATGTCACCATGCCCGTGCCGGTCTGTATCCACCGGTATAGGGTCAGGTTGCCTGCTATTTCTTTATTATTATTTTTTTCAAAATAAAAATAAAAATCATGGCATCAGGGCTGTGACGGAAAATAAGTGGCCTAAATCCGATGAGAAAACCGGATTTGGGGTACCCTAGGTTTGGCTTCTGAGCCTCTGGCCCCCCCCAGTGAAAATTCCTTAGAGGAGGCCCTGCTATACATGCCCTCCCAACGGGGGCATGAAGTCTTCCCTCCGGGTACAGACCACCGCTGGGTGCAAACTGCAGAGACTGTTCCATCTTTTGCAGGTAATTTTCCCGCCGGGCGCAAAGACTGTCCCTCCTGGTGCAGAGGCTGTTATGCGGGACGTTGGGTGATTAACCCGGCAGGCGGTGGGCCTACTAGCCACCTTCCGCGCGGTGAGGGGGGGGGCATTTTTTGCCCCCCCCCCCCGTATCTCCGAAACTACTGGACGGATCCGGAAAATTCAAACGGCGTTTGATAGCCCTGTCACATTTGATGAAGGAAACCAAATTTCATTGACCTCGGGGTCACCGATGACGTCACAGGTCAGGTCAAAGATAAAATGTTTCACCGTTCACGGGGCTTCTAGGGAAAGCGCTATAACACCGAGTAAAACGCATTTTGTCGAAAATCAGCGATAAGGCGTCAGTTGTCTAGTACATATGTTGCTATTAGAGGTCACTGGTCATACCAGGTCAGGTCACAGGTCAGGTCACCAAAGGTCACCAAGGGTCACCACATGAGCCCAACTTTACTAAGGTTATGTGATGCATGTTTTATGGCCAGTTTTTCATTTCCAACTCAATGGTGTTGGTTATAAGACCATCAGGTACGGTTGAGGTCACTTTCTGGTGGAGGTCAGGTCAAGGTCAGGTAAAAAAAGGTCAAATTTCAAAGTTGGTATTTTTGCATAAAATGGGTATCGATTCGATGCAGCTCGTCACGGGGAGTCTAATGGGGGTCTTTGTTTTGCGCTGCGAGGTCTGGAATTGCTAAAAATTGAGTTTGAAAATTTGAAGTCATCAATTTTGAACAGTTTTTTCGCTATAACCTGGCCAAAAAAAGAGGTATCGATCTCAAATTTGGTATGTAGATAGAAGGCGGTAGGGACTATCACATATATTCCGGTTTTTTTTCGAAATTCAAAAAACTTTTTGGATTTTTTGGCTATTACATTCAAAAAATCTATTTTTTATTTTTGGGGTCAAAATTAAAAAAAAAATCGAAAAAACGAAATAGCAGTTTTGTAGCCCTTTTGATTCCACACCTTTTATATCAAAAACATTTTTCTGTATCTCTAAAGCTGTAGGCCTGACAGCTCTTCCCGCGAAACCTTTTTTTGGGTAAAAATGGCAAAAATGACGTCACTCTGACGTCATTAGCGGCCAACCTATCATAGCCTTTGGAAAAAATTTTTGGTCATTATGTGCGCTAGCTGCTCCCGGGAGGGTACTGAAAGTTTGGTGACGATCGGCGCAGCGGTTCTTGAGATATATCGAAAAAACTAAAGGGGGGCAAAAAATGCCCCCCCCACCGCCTGGAAGGTTAATGCTAGTTTCCCGTCTGACCTGGGGTCACAGAACTCGCGTAGTGCAAGGGACCTTCACAGTCACGTCACCGACCAAGCCAAGTGGTGGTGCCTCAATATTGTTGCCTGTTGGTCAATGTTCAGTTGCTATGCTTTAATGCCGCGTTTTGCTCCGACTTGGCGCAGCGCTCTTGTGATTGAGCTGTTGAATTATTCCATCACTGGAATGGACGTAATTTTCGAACGTTCGACATTGTTCCGTGTTCTGGTTGCTGCGTTTATGGTGATCATCGGATGTTTGTCGCTATCGATAGTGTTTCCGTCTCCGCCGGTGGTCGGCTGAGATGTCGATCAATAGCGAAATGAGACAAGTTATCGGGAAACTAACGTTATTGGGATATTACTTGCGTCACGCTGCTGGACTAACTGAGATGCATTCACGTCCCTGTCATAGTTGAAAGCGGATTAATTATCGTGTTTGGAGCGTTGCCTAGCTACGGTGGGGTGTCGCCATGACAACTCAGCATGTAACAGGCCAGCTTTGGACAATAGTAGCATCAAATATCGCGACAACTTTGCGGAACTTCCGAGCCACTGGCATATCACAGAATCTCAGAAAGGTGCTTTGATAGCAATACAAGTTGACACGTTAAACTCCCAATCAATGCTGAGTTGCTCCCTCGGAAAGTTATCCTTGTGCTAGCTGCTCACTGCTTTTTGGAACGCTTTGGGACTCGCTCTCATTTCTATTCCACCACTGAGTCTGTGGCGTGACTCAGATAGTGAACTCTCCACACCTGAGCGCAGTGATCCGGTACGTAACCCCACGTAACTCTGCTCCGTCTGGCCTTTTATTGGATCGTACCGAGCTACATCACACCTGTATCCGAAGCTTTAAGAATTGATGCAGCGTATCCTTACATATTGTGCCGTTGGTGGTCGGGATGCTATCCAAAGCATGTAACAAGGGTGCTTACGCCGTAGCATGGATGAGAGTTGATAGCTTGTATGTGCATTGTGCACTTAGATGTAGTCTGTATGTAAAGTAATCTTGTGTATGTAGAGGCTCTTTTTTCGTTGCCGCAATTTATTGTGGTGATCACTATCTTGGCCTAGTTAACTTTTTTACTTTTATTTTGACCATTACCGTTGCAAATATTTGCGGTACGATAGTGACTGCGGTTGGAGCTCTCTGCATCCGCTCGGTGGTGACATTCTGCGGATTTTCCTTGTACCGCTGCACACTGCACTGGTGGAGTGACGAGACTACGCGAAAACATGGCGATATCGTTGAATGTTGCAACACTGAACTGTCATTGGTTTAACCACAGTAGCGGGACGGAAGCTGCAAAAAGTACCGGCTACCGAGTTTAGCAACCACTATCTTCGGCGTCACCGGATGGAGAAATATTGAAGATGTTCTAATATTCGCTACACTTTGTGCTTTATTCGACAAAAATATTGTTTAGCATAATTGCATGCTTTCTCCAATAACTACCTGACCGCCGCTGCCGCAGCCGCATGCTGTGTCATGTGGGACAGGTTTTCACGCCGGCCTTTTTGGCATCCTGTCCTGTGCCATTCACTGGCGTCGCTGGCACCGTGCCATTGCGGCTGAGTCTGGGCAGCCCATAGTGACAGGCCCCGGCGGGCGGGCCCCCTCCCTGCCTGGCGCACTGGATTGCCGCCATTAGTTGCCCCCCCCCCCCATGTTTGATCTAAAGAGTGGCGTATGGGAGCGTGGACAGCCGCGCACTATCACCGTTGTATGGAGTACCACCTATCGACCGAGCCCGGCAGGCCGAAGAGGCACTGTTCTCGTTGGCATGGTGACCATCTGTTGCTTTTTGCGTTGGTAGTGAGTGGTGACAGCTCAAAGTGGCTCAAACGGCAGTGACAGCGCGTTGGCGTTTGGCTTGTTTGGCTTCAATCATGTGAAGAGGACTCTCGCGCATTTTTTCGTCGAGGCGACATCTAAACCTGTTCGGTAATTTGCGCTTTGTCAGGGCGATGAGTTTTATCGTTTGGCTACCACTCTTGGCTTTGACTTCATGTTCGTGTGAGAAACACTTTGGGGTCGGAGAGCCCAGTCGAATAGCCCTCCAAGGCCGGACGTGCAGCTGGGGGAGCGGAGGGGAGTGCAGATGCTCCATCACTCGAACCAATGAGACCAACAGCTGCAGCTGCGGCCGGGGCTAAACGCGGCCTTAACTCATTGGAACGTGGGGAGCTGCAGCCATGACTGTGCTACGGTAGGAGTGTGTAGTCGCCGTTGTAGGAAGATAGTGATATAGCAGCCGTGATTGTCAGAAACTCACAAGTGTGCCGCTCACCTGGCGCTGCATGAACCCTCTCAATATCCCTCATCCCCACTCCACTGGTACGGCCCTTGACATCCCTGTTCTCTATTCTCAGACTCACCTGCCTGACTATCTAGCGGTGCTGCTGGGCGGCTTGGCGGTGCACGTGTGCCGTGTGAGTGACGTGTGGCTGTAAGCGGTGTGATCGTCCGCCTCGGAGGACGACACCGGGTGGGCAGGTGGACCGTCTCCTCTTTAACGCCTGTCCGATTCCCACTTGGCACCAGCTCCGCCGTCGTGCAGTACAAATTTATTTGAGAGGCTTGCAATTTCCTTACAACATATAGTCTTCACTGCTCGGGAAGGAATGGGCTCAATTTGGAGGGAATGGGATTGTCGCCGGCTGAATGGAATTGCTTAGCTTTAAGTCCCAGGGCAGGGCCCTCCCATGTTCCCATCTCGTATCCGTTCGATGCCAAGGGATCTATCCCATCAGAGAAATAAATTGCAATTCGAGCATGAGTGTCTAGCTCCCACTGGTCCTTAATATAACCATTCGTTACTCCCTTTCATCCGCACGCGCACCATTTATTCGATCATGCGTACATCTACGAAGAACATTCGGCTAGACAAACCGACCCCCCCGTTTCCATCTAATCCCCCCAGTGGCGCTGGAATTTGCATGGTTATCTCCTGAGGTGAGTTCATACCCTGTTTGGTACTTATGTGCGTATAATGAGGTGTTAACCCCTTTAAGTCCCTGAATTCTAAGCAAATTGGCACTGGGTGTCCTTCTGACCCCATTTACGTTATTACTCTCTTCCGTTGAAGCTACGTTTCTCATGCGCTCCCGGCCACTGCCTGCTCTTCAATCACGTGCACTGCTACAGTGCATACATTTCCATCGACTACCTCTCTCTCTCGCTCGCGCGCACTGCCACAGTGCGGATAATTTCGCCCAAGCTCAAAGGAAACAACGGTTGTACGCACCTCTGCCGGTCTGTCGACTCGGTGTTGTGGGTGGTCCGGTTGTGCCTCAGTTGAGGGATAAGTTCCTAAATGATAATACTCTCGGCGGAGCCCTCCGCATAACAACTCTACATTTCCATCGACCACCTCTCTCTCGCTCGCGCGCACTGCCACAGTGCGGATAATTTCGCCCATGCTCAAAGGAAACAACGCGTTGTACACACCTCTGCCGGTCTGTTGACTCGGTGTTGTGGGTGGTCCGGTTGGTGCTTCGGTTGAGGGATAAGTTTCTAAATGATAATACTCTCGGCGGAGCCGCTCCGCGAAACCATAACTCTGTGTTTCTTCTGAACACCTCGGCGGAGCCACTCCGCGACATCATAACTCGGCAACCTTGCCCTCGTTTATCGCTCTTACACTCTTACATATTAGCCCTAGCCCTTCAAAGTCCGGTCGACACGGACGGCTAGCCGCTCGGTGCCTTTGCTATACTTCATGGGAATACGCAGTAGAATTCATCGAGCCACGGAATACTCATTTTTCATCTCGCAGTGGTCGACGGCGTCAGCAGAGTCAAAACAGGCACAGGGGCCTGGCTCGAACCAGCCTCTCTCCGGCTAGTTGAATTGTCTAGGTCACTAACTTACTGTGTTGTAGTATGGTTTAGGCTAGTTGCGTCGATATGTGGCCCAATCATTGGGGACAAGATAGTGAATACAACCTAGAGAGGGAGAGAGAGAGAGAGAGAGAGAGAGAGAGAGAGAGAGAGAGAGAGAGAGAGAGAGGGAGAGAGGGAGGGGAGAGAGGGAGTGAGAGTGGGAGAGAGAGTGGGAGATAGAGAGAGAGGAAGAGAGAGAGAGAGAGAGAGAGAGAGCGAGAGAAAGAGAGGGAGAGAGAGAGAGAGAGAGAGAGAGAGAGAGAGAGAGAGAGAGAGAGAGAGAGAGAGAGAGAGAGAGAGAGAGAGAGAGAGAGAGAGAGAGAGAGAGCGAGAGCGAGAGCGAGAGAGATTGGAGTATAAGACAAATTGTCAAGAGGTGGTCCATTTCGATGTTTCCCCGTACGCGCTCAGTTTTGGCTAGGTATTCACGCCTGTTAGGTAAATGTCGCCCTTATCGCCCTGGGCATCACTCCTGATCCTTCTTACACGCATGCCGCTAAACTTTCAGGGTTTTATTCACGCAATACACCTCAGAGTAAAATAAACCAAATTCAAGCGCAAACCTCATGATTTACCAGACGCACCCTCGCTTCGATTTTGTTCCAAAACAAAAAATAACATCGCGCTATCGGTTACCCAAATCTATACACCCGCGCAACAAACCTTTCCATCGCGCAACATAATTCGTCATTCCGACCAGCCCTGACGCAATGATTCGACAGTGATTCAACTAAAAACTGAGTCCCGAGTCCTATTGAGACACCCAATAAATTTACCCAATCAACGCTTTGCCCCCCCCCCCCCTAAAAAAAGAAGCTTACATGGTGTTGCCGTTACGCCTAATCCTCACGCTCAGCCCGAGAAAGGTAGCCCTGAACCATCAGCCGGTTGGTGCAAATCACGGAGTGAATATATGAGGGACGGGAGCTGAATGATTGCATGTTGGCAAGGATTGAGCAGACTTCCTTTCTGTGGCAATTCTTACTTGAACGGCGTTGTTGACCAAGCCGGTCACCGAGAGGTCGATGATGATAGCAGTTTGTCCGTTGTCGATGGCTGAGAGCGTGCACTTTCCTCGATCTAGCTCTCGATCACTGTCGTACTGGATCTTCCCTCAGCTGCTGCCCGTCGCGCTCCTCCCGTCATGCTCCATCCTCCGTGCACTGCAGTGTCCTGTGCACTCCCCGGTCGGACTAGATGCTCCGTGCACTCCGGTGCCCTGTGCACTCCTCGGTACCTCCTCCATGACTATTCGTCCTTTATATCCAGATTACTATCGCGTTGGTGTTCCAGGTGTGATAAGCATGGCTAGATAATTCATCGGTGTGGCGTGATAGGCCTAGTATCTTTATCTGTATGATGACTCATGAGTGGCATCGGTCCTGGTTATTGACTTTATCCCAGCTGGCTGTAATTGGGCCGGGTGCAGTGCTTATTACTTTTGCTATCTTCTTGCCATCTGTCGTGCACACCTTCGTTCTGCTGGGAAGCTGAGGGACACTGTTCGGCGTCGGCGCTTTATTGCTTGGTTTGGTCGTAATCACGATATCTGGGGTATTGGCTCATATGTATGATCCGCCATGGTCATTGAACTTCCCAGCTGTTCCTGTTTTGGCCGAACGCTTGTGATATTAGCGAATTCGTCAGTTATTACTCTGTTTGCTGGACGCTCATTTGTCCCAGCTGCCGTCCAGTATCAGTAGTACCCGACCGTCGGCGTCGCTGCTCGTCAGGTGAATGCCAGATATGGGCATTGGCGTGCCCCACTCTCGGCACGGAACATCTGCTCTTCTGGACGTACATATTTGCACCTCCGATTCCGCAGGGAGGGGTGATTGGAACTTTTGGTGAGCGTCCGTCGGCGGCTGATAACTTCGTCGGTGTGAGCGTAATTTTGATGGCTTGACGCCTTCTATTTGCGGCACTTGCGGCATGATACGGCCCGAGGGGTCCCTGCGTCAGCTGTTTCTTGTTTGACATGCTCACACCGGTGTCGATCCACTAGGTCGAGGCGGTGCCGGTGGCGATATCCCAGGCGCAGGTGCAGAGGGTTGGCGCACAGGATGCCGGCCGATTGCGCTTTGGAGAGATAAAGTTCCGTTATGAGCTTTTCCTGTAGATGCGGGCGGGGAGGCGGCAAAGTTTACACCTCTGCAGTGCCAGGTGTAGCCCGTTTTTTGACGTGGCCACCCAATTGGCGTGCGACCGATAAGAGGGGTCGGCGCTACGTCGGGTCCAGGTGGGGTAAGGCCATCTGCCGCCTGCGCCCTGTTGACCCGCGTTATCCATGAAGGTGTCGGGAATTGAAGCGCCGTTCTTCTCAGATGATTTCACTTTTGCGTGTTTGGCTTTTAGTCTCACACCAATATGCATGCCTTATGATTCTGTCAATTCCTGTAAGCTGTGATTCGAAAAAAAATGTGGCTTCCGTCACATTTTCAGGCTCATTTCTTTTAAATTGTGCCCCCACAATTTTGTTTCTTCGTGTGTGTGTGTTTGTGTGCATGTGTGTGTGTTTGTGCGTGTGTCCAATGCAGGCTGGGTTTCTTCAGTCATCGTCACGAGTTGCCTGTTTTTGACTCTTGTTGTTTTGTTTTCTCTTGTCTGTGTTTGTCCTTTGAACGTACTTTTTTCATTGACTCCTTTCTTCTTTGGCTGTGTTCGTGTACACTAATCGTGGGCTGATGCCGGCTGATGGTTCATGACTATGGTTATTGTTTTTGGGCTAACATATAGACATAATTAAACCATCTAAACATTGTTCACGCAATCGATTGTAGCATTGCTTTTAACGCCGACACAACGATAGAGAATGCCCTCGTTCATATGCTTTTGCACGAAGCGAACAGTATGTGTGTTTTACTTAGTAACAATAAAGCAAACAGAATTTTCCCTAATCTCCCTACAGCTCGCCTACACAAAGCCCCCTTATTTCTATTACAACGCCGCAATGATATGTCACATGATTATATCCTTGAACACTCCACCCCACCTACTGTTTGACCGCTGCTGCTCCAGCTTCCAAGAATGCAGGCTGGTGTCCGGTGTCCCCCCGGAGTGTTGAAGTCCCGCGATTCAGCGTGGGCCTTCCCTTGCACGTGCTGCATGCCGCATTCCGCCACGTCTGTCGTCCTCGGCTCCAGTCGGCTCTCGTAGTGAGGCGGCAAGGTTTATGGTGACGCCCGTGCCTGCTGTTAGGCATAAGAGAGGTATTCTGAGCAGACATTGAGCCGCGGTTCTTGATTGACGTATGGCTGGATATTCCTTGGGGCTGGATCTTTGCCTCGTGGGATGGTTGGGATAATTAGAATGGATGACAGGTCAGTAATATATGATGACATGTTCCGCTGAGCTGACTTAATGACTCACTTTCAGGGCAGGCTGCTTCTTGATTTCCGTTCTTGTTCAATTGCGGTGACTTCATTCCACGGTGCAGGTTGGGTTCATGAAATATAGGTTGCTGAATAACTTTTGTCTGTTTGCTTGTGTTTCCAGTCGGCTGTAATCGGAGCGGAGATAAACTCTGCCTGCTCCATTTTGCATCTTTGGCCTTCTCTCTTCTATGTGAA